AGCATGGAGAAATAAATGTAGGAAATTTTTGAGCCAGTCCTGTAATACTCCTGACATAGGACACTGCTTGCACATATTTCATTGGCCAGAATTCAGATACATGGCCACACTTAACTGTAAGCAACATTTCTGTTCTATACTGTAGCACTTTTGTGTACCATACCCATTTCTGCCCCAGGTATCTAATTCAGCTAAATAATATAATGTATCACAACTTAAGTTAATATAAGGTATCATAATATAAGTTACAATACTATATAGAATCTAATGTGGGGAGCAGCTATAGGGTTAAGCCTCGGACTGACCTGTTGGCCAAGTCACAAACAAGTCCCAGCTTAGAGGGCACAGTCCTCTTAAGCATAATTAGGCTTGACCTTATGACGCTCCCTAGATCTTACCTGGGAAGCTAATGGGCTGAGGGAAGTGCAACAAGAACAAAATCAAGTGAAACTCACAAGAACAGTGTAACTTTGGTAACCACTACCTTGTTTACCTCTGACTATGAAAATAAAGGCTCAGATTGCCTCGGGATCTTTCTCTGTGGCCTCAGCCAGGCACAGGAAGATCCACAGAGACTAGAGAGAGCTAGAGAGTTCTGAACGCTGTCTCCGTGTAAAACATTCTTCGCCGACTCCGTCCACACCTTTGGGAACCCCTGGACCACTGAGGCTGAACCCCGGCAATCTAAGGTTAACTTTACAAGTAATTTTATTATAATTAAAAGAAACATTTCATCTCTATTTGCTTACATATATCATCAAGTATTATTAAATAAATGATCAACTCCATTTTTACTTCATTGGTATCACTCTAAATTACTTCTTTCACATAGTAGAGATCAATTTTAATAAAGTGATGTCTAATTTCCTACCTATAATTTGTCTATTCTGTGATAACTTTTTTGATAGAGTTTCATGCTTTTCCTCTGTTAAGGCATCAAACAAAGGCTAATGCAGGTTTCGATTGGACAGCTCTTCTATATTGTTTAGGTAATGTCAGTGGCATTTGGTAATTAAGAAGTACAGAGATAAATGATGTTAGTGAATAAAGTGGACAGTGGACAGAACTACAATTTACTCTAATTGCTCTCAAAACCAGGACAGGCTCTGTTTCAGGCTATTGAGCTGAACTGTTTGGAAGATTCATAGATTATAACCTTGGTTACATTCATTCAGCTTTACACAGGAAAATAGATTTGAACATTATATTATCTATTGTCAAATTTATTCCCAACATAATGAAGTTGATCTTGATTAAGCAGAAGACAAACATGTTTGGCAGTATTTGCTAAGTAGTAATTGAATTTTAAGGAGGACTCTGTTAAGAATACAAAAGATCATTCTCTGAGCATTTCTTCAGTAATAAAAGTAGCTTATATAATGGAATACTATCTAATGAGAAAATAAGTATAATTTACAAAATATGAGACCAAGGTTAATTTTGCTTGGGCCTAGAGTAAATTTATATTGAAGTCCTTTTTAAGTTCTGTTGTTGGAGTCTTATCATCTTTTATAGGCAATTAAATGTTGGTAGTCCACATCTTCTCTCTCTGCTCCCTTCTTGCAGAATGATATCTTCTCCCAAGGCTTCTATAGGTATAGATTTCTCCCTCTGGACTAGACCTCTTTTATACACGCATACTCTTATATATAACTGCCTATTTAAAAGCATGGAAGATTTGGCTTAGGGTGTTGGGCACAAATTGCAGTATACAGATGGTGTGTTATACAGTTGTACACTCAAAACCTATATGATTTTATTAACTGATGTCACCTCAATAAATGTAATTTTAAAATAATAAATCCTATGTAATAAGAGCCTAATATGCTAAGTTCTGGTTATCCAGTTGTCCATTCAATCAATAAAAGTATAATATGCTAATGATATGCTAAGGCTACACAACTGTTCACTATGACATGCACTGACCACTAGGGGGCAGACAATTGACCGGTTGACCAGTCGCTATGGCTTGCACTGACCACCAGGGGACAGACACTCTGACCAGTAGGTTAGCTGCTGGGGTCCGTGCGATCAGGACTGAGATGGGCCGGACATGCCCTGGAGCCCTCCCGCGGTTCCTCCCCAGCTGGTTAACCTCCCATGTCCCTCCCCAGCCCCAATCTTCCACCGGTGGGGTCCCTCAACCTGGCCTGCAACCTCTCGCAATCTGGGACCCCTCGGGGGATGTCAGAGAGCCGGTTTCGGTGGAACAACCAGCGCTATGACGCGCACTGACCACCAAGGGCAGACACTCAACACAGGAGCTGCCTCCTGATGGTCAGTGTGCTCCCACAGAGGGAGTGCCACTCAGCCAGAAGCTGAGCTCACGGCTGGTGAGTGCAGCAGTGGTGGCAGGAGCCTCGCCCGCCTCCGCGGCAGCGCTAAGGATGTCCGACTGATGGCTGGGGAGCAGGCCTAAGCCCTAAGCCGTCAGTCAAACATCCCCTGAGGGCTCCCACACTGCGAGAGGACGTAGGCTGGGCTGAGGGACCACCCCCCCCACCACCACCCCACAAGTGCACAAATTTCGTGCACTAGGCCTCTAGTAAACAAATTCTCAAAACAGATCTAAGGATATCTCAAAAACATCTTAAACTCATCATGTCTAAAACTAAAAATCATGCTCTTCCACCTCTGCCTGATTCTCTGGTATTCCCTGTTTACACAGATGGCAGCACCAACGAAATGACTGGGTTAACCTGGACACTAACTTTGGCATTTCCTCTCCTTTAGACTCAATATCCTGTTTTCACCAAATTATCAGTTTCACCTCTCAAATTGTAAACTTATGCCTTTATCTTCATCTACACTTACAGCCAACCACCTAGCCCCAGCTGCCATCATCTTTCACTTATACTACCCAATAGCCTGCCCAACCTTCCCTCCACTCTTGCCCTGTCCAATTTCTTCATTTGTTTCTTTGTTTCCATACTGTAGTCAAACTGATCTTATCAGATGTATTCATGAAAACCTGTCCTTCCTAACCCCATGCCCAACTTTTCACTGACTTTTACTCCTAAACTAATGATAACAATGTTATTAAATGAAGTCCTGCATGGCCAGCCCCTATTTCTTCAGCCTCATCTCACACAGTGCTTCCCCTCTAGTCTCCATGCTTCGGCTACATTGACCTTTTTAATTTCATGAGGATTCCACCTTCCCTCCTGCCACAAAGTCTTTGAACATGCTGTGTACCGTCTGTCCAGTGTGTCTTCCCTCTACCTTTTACCTAGGTAAATCATTCTTGTCCTTCAGCTGTCTCTCCAGGCCATTTTCCCAGTCACCTTCTCTGACCTCCCTGACTGGGATCCTCTACCTCTCTCTCCTTCATGTCTCTTCTGACATTGATGATTGTTTATTAAATGTGTTGATTTTCCTTAATGTCTTTCTCCTTATTAAACTATAAGTTCCATGAAGGCAGGAATTGTGCCTGGTTTTTCCTTCCATTGTATTTCTACTGCCTGACACAATGCATGGCACATAAAAGGCATTCAATAAGTATTTGCTACATAACTGATGTGATAGAATCCAAACAGAAATTTTTCTGAAAAATATTTGTAGTAGATAAGACTAAAGTTTACCATATTTCATATCTCTATGTATGAATTACAGTAGTTCTTTTTTCCTTTATTAAAGTGACATAATAGAGACTTTTGGAAAGTAATCATACTCTCCTAAGAAAAGTAATTTTAACTTTTTAAGTAAGACCTATCAAAACACTGAGGTCCATTTAGCAACATTTCCTGAATTGTACTCATGTGCAGTATTTTTCAGTTGTTGGATTTTTCTTACTCTTTGTTCTCTAGTCACTTTTTCTAGTGTTATTTTTCGTCTCCCCTGGCCACCACATGATATACTATAATTTTACAGAACCGCACATCTGTCTTTGTTATACTTCTGTGCCTTTGCACATATGGTTTATACAGGTAGAAATGCATTCCCTCTATCTTCATTGCATGTCTGAGTCATAATTATCCTGTTTAAACCACCATATACATTGACTTAACATGGTTGAAAACAATCTTATATAGAAAATTTCCACAGCTAATTTATATTTTGACTGTAAAATTATAGAGAATGAGCCTACAGTAAATAATTGAGTCTGTACCACTCTTGACCCTACGCTTGATTGTGCTGCACTTTGGAGTCACAGAAATCAGTTAAATAATTCCTCACTATCTTTGTGAGCCTGGGTAGGTTATATAACTTCCCTGAGTGTTCGTTTCTTCACCTCAATAATGGTTGAAAAGTTTGTTGTGAAGAATAAATGAAATAATGTGTGTAAAATACCTAGCAAAATAATTGGATATATTAGTTTATTATTTTAAAGGATTAGGATTTCATGGCTCTGGTGTTTATAATAACATGCTTCACTTGGTTATTTTTTAAATGTTTGTAGTAAGTATGAAGATAATATTTTTTAGGTAAGCCAGATTGGAGCTCACTTACTACAGAATTTATACCTAACTCACTAAAACTTTATTTATAGCCATAATCCCTTCAGAAGTTCCTTCTGCTTTTAAGCTTTTTATTAAATGATTTTTAAGTATTGTTAGCATTTTTGACATGTTTATAGTGAGCTGTGCAATAATTTTACAACTTGGTACCAGTGAAGCTAATTGCAAAATTAGGTATTTTTCTTGAAAGAGTAAAACAGCTAACTTGCAACAAGAATTTAGTAAATTCCAAAAGAGGTGAGCCACTTCTTTTGATTATTAGTAGAAATGACTAGAAATTTTGACTGTATTGTAGACATGGTTGTAATCCATGGTAGATTATAAAAGTTTAAATTCTGTTTAAAAATATTAATGAGTTAGCATACCTGAATATTCTATTTGCAATTACTACTTTATATAAGTATTTTTTTCCTTGGATGGCCACAGGAAATATCTTTTTAATTTATCCTCACTTTCCTTTGTTATTATGAAGTTCTTAAAACACCATAATTTTCTGTGTTTTTTGTTTGTTTTTGAGAGATAATCATTCCATTTTTCTTAAAGACTGGGACAGGGAGAAATTACTTGAAGCTTGGATGTCTAACCCAGAGAATTGCTGCCAACGATCAGGTGTGCAAATGCCAACTCCACCACCAAGTGGGTGTAATGCCTGGGACACGCTCCCTTCTCCAAGAACTCCAAGGACTACACGCTCTTCCGTTACCTCTCCAGATGAAATAAGTTTGTCTCCTGGGGATCTGGACACCAGTTTGGTATGGTTTTGTATTCAGTGTACTTCCCATAGTTTTGTGTTTACCTTTTTAATTGTTTCATAGACCCTCTATCATGTTCTGGTCATTGAATCCTATACCCTTCTTAAAGGATTCCATTATTTCATGATGTGGTAAATAATTCTTATCACAGAATATTTTTTTGATCTCTGAATTACAGACTGAAAAATAAAGGTTTTCTTTACTCATTTCAAAACAAAAAACATAGAAGAGTGTAGGAAAACCACCTACTATATTTCCACTTAAAAACTCCAGTTGCTTAAAGTTTTTAAACACACCATACTGAAATATTAAAAGGTGAGATTGTGATAGGCACTTTACACCAAAAATATGAAAAAATATTTTATATTTTCTTCAAAACATTTATACTATGTTGATAATTATGTGTTTGTTTTAGTAAAGCTTCTGGAGTTTGTTATCTAGATAAACTTCCATAAAAATGTTACTGAGAAACAGTACTGCCTGTGTCTGCATTTTTCACTGGCATAACATTCGTATACTGTTATAGGAAATTTTTAAAGTTTCTTGAATGAGTCAGCCCTCAAAATTTGTGATAAATGAAAGTATTCCAGGTTTTATCTAGGCCTTCTTAGAAAACAGAATCCTACTTCTATAATTTACATCTGTAACATTATAATGTTTGTTTCTAATAAGTCATTGTTTAGAAATTACATAGTTTTATAGCAGAGTTCCTTGGGTAGAAATCCTTGACTTGCTACTCTGAATATCCTGAGTTGCTATATTGAAAAAACAGTTACTCTGTTTTTGTAGATTTTCTGGGGTGAATATAGGGTAAAAGACATGATATTGAAGTAGTAATTTTGAAATGGACAATTTGATCTTGACCTGAATAGATTGTAATGATTTTTTTCTTGTACTTCCTTTTCCAAATGTGTGTAGTCACTGATTAATTTAATATATAAATTTGGAGTGTAAGAGTAAATCTCACAATCATTTATAATGAGGTAAGCGTATTTGTTATTCAATCAAAGGTAGGCACACTAATTTTAACTTACCTTATAATTTTGGAACACTTAACTTTTTATAATTACTGTATTAGTATTTTTGCCTTAAACTAATGGACAGATGAATGTATTGCACTCTTTTCAACATATGACTTTGTTTAAATCATTGCTCTTCTTCATCTCCAGTGTGACATTTGTATGTGCAGTATTTCTGTATTTGAAGACCCGGTGGATATGCCCTGTGGACATGATTTCTGTAGAGGATGTTGGGAGTCGTGAGTATGCATTATATTTCTTACTGCATGATAGCACTCTGATTTGACAAAAAGAAAATTTTTTGCTTTTAATATTTAATTATATGGATTATTTTATTGGTTACAGAGTTATTGCACTTCACTACTAAGGAAGAATTTTATTTTCCTTATTTTAACATTTTTCCATCTATTACTTTTGTGAAATTATTTAATTTAGCAATTAGTGTTATTTTTAGCTTAATGTAAAGTACTTTAGGGGACAAAGCAGGTATATGTAAATGTGTTTTCTTAGTATTTGAATTTATATTACAGCTCATGTACATCTCAAGCCTACACCTGAATATCAACAATTTCTTATATCCCAAGAATTTTTAAGCATCTATTTTTATGCTTTCTCTGAATTTTTGTAACGAATTTTCTCTGAATTTTCAAATAACCTTGAAAATCTATAAGAATATGGATGTTTAAAATTCCTTTTTAAAAAATTCAAAGTTGCCGAAACCGGTTTGACTCAGTGGATAGAGCGTCGGCCTGTGGACTGAAGGGTCCCGGGTTCGATTCCGGTCAAGGGCATGTACCTGGGTTGCGGGCACATCCCCAGTAGGAGATGTGCAGGAGGCAGCTGATCGATGTTTCTCTCTCATCGATGTTTCTAACTCTCTATCCCTCTACCTTCCTCTCTGTAAAAAATCAATAAAATATATTTTAAAAAAAATTCAAAGTTAAATGCTTCTGCTAGGCATGGTTGGGTATATACTACAAGTGGAAAACTTATTTTGCTTCTCACGTTTATTCTTCTTCCTATTAACTTGCCAAGATTTATAATTTGCCACATCCATTAACTTTGCTCTAATGTATTTTTCTAGAGAGGTTTATAAACAAAATGAAGATCAATATAATGAGTAGTATAATACTATGTTTTCTCTGGAGACACATAAATATGCTGACCTAATGAAGCATGACCTAAATGAAGCATGTCATTATTTAAGGAAATCTTAAAAATCAGAAGTTTTCAAACTACTCCTTTTCATGGAGTGCTGGGTACCAAGTTTAGAGAGCTGGGGAAATACCATGTTGGGTAAGAAAGCCAAGAATATGAGCAAATACTTATTGGGGTGTAATTGACATGTAATAAACCACATATTTAAAATAAATAATATTGTTAGCTTTGGCATGTGTGTGTATCCATGAAACCATTACCACAATCAAGATAATGAATATATCCATCACCCCCAAAAGTTACCTCATTTCTCCTTGAAATCCCTCCTGCCTTTCTCTTTTTGCCTCCTTATCCTCCCACCACCACCCCCTCCCTCCAATCTGTAGGTAACACTGATCTTATTTCTGTCACTCTGGCTTCATTTTGAGTCATTTTCTTATCTGTTTTCTAAACCAGAGTATGAAGCAAGATTTCGTTTGGAGGAGGAAAAAATACTGCTTAAAAGAAAGTCAGAATGAATAAGGCTCTCAGGTTGTTTATTTTAAAACGTAGGCTAGTCAGTCTAATTACGTAGGATCAAATCAGTACAGTTGATGCAGGTAAACTAATTGGCAAGGGTCAGAGCTCACATTCCAAAGTATTGTATTGTATTAGGAAGTATTATCTGGGTTCTACCAGGTTTGCTACTGTTGACCTTGGTTTCTATGTGAAAACTGAAACCTCTCCTCTTCCCAGGGATTTACTTGATATTTTTTCGACTTCCTCAGCCTGTCTTAGCTAACTCCTATAACAGGAACCATTTCCTATACTCACCAGACTATCCCTTGAGAAGCTTATGGTAAGATTTAAATTTGAAAGATCGAATTATTGTTTTCTATGGTATCTTATTAGCCTACCTAGGATTCTCCTATACAGGAGTGCCAGGTAGTTCTTGTCAAATCAAGCACCAGTAAAACAGGTTTCAGGTTGGGTGATTAATATGTTAATAAAGTCATTTTTAAATTAACTGCAGCCTTTTCATATTTTGTAGGCATATAAAAAAGAAATGCCTCTGTCCAAAAATCAAGGAAAAAAAATGTTAAAGTCCTTAGATAGTTTGAAAACCTCTCAATTTATTTTATGCTTCCCTACCTCCTTAACAGTCCAGCCAGATGCTTTGAAGCACCTATGCCAAGAGCTTAAATGAAAGGGAAATTAGTATTACCCACCCTAGAATATCATTCCTGCTACTTATTGTTGATTTAGTTAACTGGTAACCTCTCTGTGCCTCAGTTTTGTAATCTATAAAATGGTGATAATAGTAAGGACTTCATAAATTATTGTCAGTTTATTGTTAAATGGCTTAATATATATAAAACTAGAGGCCTGGTGCACGAAAATTTGTGCACTTGGGGGGGGGGGTCCCTCAGCCCGGCCTACCCCCTCTCATAGTCTGGGAGCCCTCAGGGGATGTCCACGGGGAGCAGGCCTAAGCCCCAGTCTAGCCTCCCTCTGTGGGAGGCGACTGGGCTGATCAGGAGAAGGCACCGCCCCCATCACCCTGCTGTTGCTAACACTGCCAGCCACAGCGGCTGTGAGGCCTGAGCCCCAGGCCTTGCAGCCGCCAGAGCTCATGGCTGCCTGAGTCCATGGCTGGCGTGAGCCCTAGGCCTCGCAGCCACTGTGGCTTTGTCTGGATGGATGTCTGGAAGACATCTGACCTAATTAGCATATTACCCTTTTATTAGTTTATATGCTTAGAACAGGGCCACTCAATAAATGTTACTTATCATTTTCCTAAGTTTGGTAATAAGCAGAGAAATATAATCTGTGAAGCTGATGTATAAGTAAAGTTTGCCTCAGATTTCTTTCTTTAACATTTCATCAGCTTCATGTTTTGCTTATAAATTTAGTGGGAAATTGTATTTTGATGAGGATTAACAGCATGGCTCTCAGATAAATGACCCTGACTTCTGTCATTATGATCCCCAGAGGTAATTAAACTGGTTCTGATGCATTAGAATACATGCAATTTAAAACATCATATAGTACTGTATCTAAGTAAGCTATGCACTCTAACCAGAGTACTATAGCCACATGCCGCATAACTACGTTTTGATCAGTGAAGAACCATATGTATGAAGGTGGTCCCATAAAATTATAATGAATTATTAGAAAAAAGTTTGTTTGCAATGTTGAAAGGAATGGCTGGACCCAACTACAATACCAAATTTACTGCTAGCTCTGGGTGATTTAAATAAATGAGGAGGCTCAGCATGCTGTCTACTGCTGTGTCCACACATGTGTGCAGTTGCACATCACACACAAAAATACTCATTTCCCTTCCCTCCATTTCTCTTTCTCTCTTTCCTCCCAGTCCTTTTCCTCCATCCACTCCTCTCTTCTTCTCCCTTTTGTTATTTCTCATCTCAAGCTTTATCTCTCTGGGTTTCTTTATATCTCCACTCTCACTTTCCCCTTCTCTTCCTTCTCCACCCCTCACCTCTCCTACCTCCTGATGTCCATTCTCCAAAGGTACCTCCCTCCACAGCCCTCCCAATATCCCCCAATGCATGCACACACAGGTGCACAACTTTATCTTTTATACCGTATTTTTAATGCACCTTTCTATTTTTAGATATATAAATATGTACCATCGTGTTGCAATTGCCTGTAGTATACAGTGCAGTAACATTCTGAAGCCTAGGAGCAGTAGACTATATACCATATAACCCAGGTGTGTAGTAGGCTATACAGTCTAGGTTTGTGTAAGTGCACTCTCTATGATGTTCTCACAAGGGTGAAATCACCTAATGATGCATTTCTCAGACTGTGTATCCCCTTGTTAAGTTACATATGACTGTATAAGATAAATTATATCCAACTTTCCAGGGAACCTATTCATAATTAAAATGAAGAGATTCCTGTTGTGTGAAAAGGGAACTCTGCAATTAGCACTTTTCTAACTTTTAGTTTCAAGATCCCTTTAGACTCTTAGAAATTCTTGAGGAGTCCAAAGAGCTTCTGTTTATATGGGTGATATCTATCATCTATATACTATATTAAAAATTAACACTGAAAAAATTAAGATTTGTTTATTCACTTTGATAATAAACGCATTGTATGTTAACATAATATTTACTATGAACAATAATTTACCTCCATTAATAAATTAGAAGAGTGGTATGTTTTGCTTTTTTGCAAATTCTTATATCTACTTATGCATTCAGTATGTTATAATTTATTGTTTTGGTCAATGTTTATAAAGAAATCTGTCCTCACACATGTGTAGATGGAAAAGAGAGGTATATTCAGATAGGTTTGGATATTCTTTTGATATACATCAAAACTCAATAAATAGTATTTTCTTAATGGTTAATTGCAATGTAAAATTTAAAACCATACTAATGGACTTTTTTTACTCTTACATTAAAATCCCTGGGTCTGTGTTGCACTTTTAATAGCTCTTTTACTCTTATCTGGTTTTGTAACATCAGTTGGAAAATATTGGTTCACTGGATTGTTTAGATCTTCCAATGTTAACATATTTCACTACACACAAATATAGTAAAAAGTCACATTAATTAATATCATTACCAGTCTCATCAGGAAAGTTTCTGATACTGGGAAGCTGTCAAACAGATAAGAATCTTTTAAAATTCTAAGTTTTATCTGAAGGCTTGAATTTTGTCATTGGCAATAAATACCCCCAACTTTTTTCCTTGACATGCCAGGTTTATTTCATTCATTTTTAAAAGTAGTCTACCATTTAACCTAGTCTGAATAATCATTGTTTGCAGTCACTCTTTGAAAAAAAAAGGTGTTCCATGATAAAAGCAAGTGAGGCTGCTTGTATTTGAACAAGAGCCTGTGCGTTTTCCTTGAGATAACCATCATGCTTTGTTTAGTGTGCAGCAGAAGTTCATTGTATTGTACTTACTTCCCATTTCATTAATACTTGATCAATAATTAATAATTTTTATTACTCCATCAAGGGTATTCTTAAATGAAACTGGCATTTGTTTGTTTTTTAACTTTGAATATAGAGCAATGAAGAATGCAGTCTACTAGTATAATTTTAGGGCCACTGCCATGATTCATGCTAAAGCACCAGCAGTTTTAACCAAAAAACCAAATGAAGGCTTAATATTTTGAAAATAGTTTTAACCTCATAAACCCCCTGGGAAGCCTCAGGAACCCTCATAGGTCTACATATCACACTTAAGAGAATGGCTTGCTCTGTAACATTTTCCCCTGAATTCTTTATCCATCCTTCTGCCAAATTATTTTTCTTGACACAGTAATACAAATAATTTTTAACTGGTAACTAATTTGCAGAATGTTCTCCTATTGGAATATATCAGACTTTTATGGAGCCTGTGTAGTTTTAAAACATTGAAAAAGGGGGGAGATTTTAAAGATGCTGAATTAAAATGCCTATGGGATATTTGAACAAAAATGTGTGTAATCAAGACCTATAATTAAGGGAGATATGGGTTTTAAATTTCATTAGCATGTAAGTGGTAGTTTATGATAGGGGTATTTATGTATTTATTTATTTATTTTAATATATTTTATTGATATTTTACAGCGAGGAAAGGAGAGGGATAGAGAGTTAGAAACATTGATGAGAGAGGAACATCGATCAGCTGCCTCCTGCATACCCCCCACTGGGGATATGCCCGCAACCAAGGTACATGCCCTTGACTGGAATCGAATCCGGGACCCTTCGGTCTACAGGCCGACGCTCTATCCACTGAGCCAAACTGGCCAGGGTTGTGACAGGGGTATTTAGATCATCCAGGAAGATTGTATGGAATTGGGAAGGGACGAGTTTGGTGTGAAAATCTTAGGGAGCAGTAAAATATAAGTGAACAGGAGAGTAAAATGCACTAGTGAAAAAGATGGACAAGAAGCAGCTAAAAGTAAGAAGAATGCTAAGAAAATGTTAAAAAGTTCTGGGACCCAGAGAGAATCTGAAAGAATGAACTGTTAACAGTGTCTAATGCTCTAGAGAAGTGAAAGCAAATAAAAACTCAGAAGTCTTGAGTAGATTGAGCTAATGAGTAATCTTAATGGCCATGTTGTGACCGGTTACTCAATGAAAAGGTGATAGAAGCTAGAGTGTTACCGGCTTAGAACTGAATATGGACTTGAGGAAGGCATGGCAAGTCATTATAAACTATTTTGCCAAGAAACTTTGATAGGAAAGCAAAGTAGAACTAAAAAAAGAGTCATTTGACTGAGAAAGGTTTTAAGGATGGGGAAAACTTGAGTATGCTGTTGTGCTAAGGGTGAGAGATGAAACAAAGGGAGCAGATGTGACAAGTCTTATTAGTAAGCTTGATACTTTAAGTGCAGTGGAATTAAGAGACAGAACTAAAGGGAAAATATACTCTAGGCCAGCGGTTCTCAACCTGTGGGTCACGACCCCTTTGGTGGTTGAACGATCCTTTCACAGGGGTCGCCTAAGACCATCCTGCATATCAGATATTTACATTACAATTCATAATAGTAGCAACATTACAGTTACGAAGTAGCAATGAAAATAATTTTATGTTTGGGTCACAACATGAGGAACTGTATTTAAAGGGTCAGAAGGTTGAGAACCACTGCTCTAGGCAGTGGAATAATGAGCTATTGTTGATGGTGATGACTAGAAAATGATGATTTAATTTCCTGTTTTCCATTTATTTTCTCTAGGTTTAAATGTTAAATATACACTTCAAAAATTTTTTGTTTCTGTAGGGCAACATTAATAATAATAACAATAAAACTTTGCTAAAATTTATAAATTCTTATTCTGTACAAGGCACCATGCAAATATTTTACATACATTATATCTTTTTTTTTTTTAAATATATTTTATTGATTTTTTACAGAGAGGAAGGGAGAGAGATAGAGAGTTAGAAACATCGATGCGAGAGAAACATCGATCAGCTGCCTCCTGCCCATCTCCCACTGGGGATGTGCCCGCAACCCAGGCACATGCCCCTGACCGGAATCGAACCTGGGACCCTTCAGTCCGCAGGCCGACGCTCTATCCACTGAGCCAAACCGGTTTCGGCTACATACATTATATCTTATAACCTGTATAACAACCCTGAGACGTGTATATTTTTATCTCCATTTTATAGATAATAAAACTGAAGATTATATAACTTGTTAGTGGTAAGCCTGGAATTCTCTAATTCAAAATCCTGTTCTTAACCACTTAATTCACCTTGTGCTAGATTCCTGCCACTTTCCAGGGTGCCTTTTCCCTACTACCTCAACTAGTGTAACTGGAATAGGAAATGAAATCCATTTTAATATTTGTCCAGATGAAATATAAGCAGAAAACCTATTCTTCAAAAAGGCATGCTACATTTAAGTACCATCCCAAAATCTCTTAAGTTATGCATGGTTTAATTCTGTACCAGTGCTCCTTTTTGTTTAAAGGTGTAGAATATTGAGAATTGAATATGACCTTTCTAAACCACTTATTTCTGAATTTTTAATGTTAACAAATGTATTGTTTTAAATTTTTAAAGGATGAAGTGGAATAGGAACATGTAAAAATATGTAAAACATAAATATATACGTGTATGTATATTCATATAAATAATGAATGGTTGGGCAGGTAGTGAGTGTGGACTGTGATTTATATGAATCAGTGTGTTATACCTGATATTCCACACTTAGTCCACTGGTGTTATTTTAATTATATTGTAGCAGATAATTCAGCAAAAAGATAAAATCTTAGACTGTGTAAATAAATTTTATCTTTGCCCATTTTCTATCAATTGATCATTTTAATAGGTTTTTGAATCTGAAAATTCAAGAAGGTGAAGCCCATAATATTTTCTGCCCTGCATATGATTGCTTCCAACTTGTTCCTGTGGATATCATAGAAAGTATAGTTTCTAAGGAGATGGACAAACGATACCTACAGTTTGATATTAAGGTATGCTGGAAATTCTCAGTCCAATCCCATAATTTTAATTTTATGAAAACTATACAACAGATTTCATTTAATATTTTTGTTTTATTTTTGAAAAATCATGAAAATTGCATAAAGGAAATGAAATTTACTTTTGTCTCAAAAATTGCATAAAGGAATGGCAGCATTAATTGAAGTTTTAAGCTAAAGCATTATTTAATGATCATGAAAGAAGTAAAAGTGAAAAGCTAAAATAGTCATTTATTAAAAGAAATAAAACTATTGCTCAGAACTATATACGGATTTGCCTGTTGTACTTTTATAACTTATTGATCAAGATAATGTTCAAAGTAGATAGTAGTACTTTAAGTTTTCCAAAAGACATTATCTATACTACTAATAAAGAAATATACAAATTATCTGTTATACCATAACGTCACAACCAGATCAGCAGGCTACATCCCCACCCTCTGCTCAGGCAGCTGCAAGGCCCAGGGTAGGGTAGGATAGGATACAATAGGCAGGGATAAGAAAGGAGAGGGAGAAGAAGGCAGGCCTGCATGCAGACAGGTCGAGAGGAGAAACAGAAATACAGAAAGGGAACAAGAAAAAGACACAGGAATGGAAAAGGGGAGGAAATTCAGGGCTGCACACAGGAGGGGTTGGCAACCGCAGCAAGGGCGGGAGCAGGTGCACCCGGCGAGGGGCAGGGCAGGAGCCCTGCCCAACACAGGAGGGCCAGGGCGGTGGCCCCCAGCGTGGGCCGTTGGCAGGGAGGCGTCCACAGGTCCGGGACGGAGTGGTGGATGGTCTGAGGCCTTCTGAGTGGAAGCGCTCTTGCTTCGCAGCAGCAGCAGCACCCGGGCTGTGCAGGCCTCGGCCTCCCTCACTGGGCCAGGGGTCCTGGGCAGGGAATGGGAGCAGGACAACGGTGGGGAGGTTGGGGAAGGGGGTGCGGCGAACACCTGGCGGGGACTGAGTCCTGGTCTGGGGGTTAACACCCCTATGAACGAAAGCTTTAAGAAGGAAAGGAGGGAGGGAAGAACTTTATAAAGGAGTCAGTAGAGAATAGATTTAAAGAAGGAAAGAGGATGAATAAGTGAACTGTAGGAGCTATAATGAAAATCAAGTATAGTTGTGTACTGGGGACAGATTTTAAAAGTAGGAGTCAAAAATGAAAAAAAATAAAACGATAGTGAATAATTATGCAAGTAGATAGATAGACATTAACAATGGAAGTAAGTAGAGAAGAATGTATGGGAAAGGTAGGATGAGAGAGCAAGAGGGAGGGAAGAAAAGTTTTAAAGGGGAGCCGGTAGAGCTTAAAAGGAGAATGAGAAGAAGGAAGAAATGGAGGAGGGAGCAAAGCAGGTCCAAGGAAGTGAAGAAAAAAATTAAGATGGGAAGGAAGGAAAAGGGAAGTGAGGGCAGGTGTAAAAAAGATAAAGGAAAGAAGGAATGTGGGGAGGGAGGGTAGAAGAAAGATGGGAAGAAGATGGAACAGAAGTAGGAAATAAGGAGGAAAGGAAAGTTTATAAATGATGAGTCAGTAGGAAAAAGTGTCACTTAAAGGAGAGAAAAATTGTATGAGAGGGAGAAGCCAATAAGGCAGTCAGATTGTGTGTGAAGGGGATAAGATTTTTTTTTAAAAGGGTAATAGGGGCGACCAGGCTGGCAGGGGAGAGCAGTTAGGGGGATCAGGCCGGCAGGGGAGGGCAGTTAGGGGGATCAGGCAGGCAGAGTGGTTAGGGCAGGCACTTGAGCGGTTAGGAGCCAGAGGTCCCGGATTGTGAGAGGGATATCCAGCTGGCAGTTGGACATCCCTTGAGGGCTCCCGAATTGGAGAGGGTGCAGGTTGGGCTGAGGGACCGCCGTTCTCCCCCCGACCCCCTGCATGAATTTTGTGCACTGGTCCTCTAGTATTTTATACTCCTAAATATAAATATTTAGAAATAAAAATTATCAACTTAGAAATATATGGGGTTGTCTTTTAGTTTCAAATAATAGTTCATGTAATGAATTATATTGTTTATTACATCTTTTTCTATATATTTATTAAGGAGTTATTCAGAAATATATGCAAATTACAAATTTTCTTTTATGATTTAAAAGTTCATCTTAAATGCCTTGTGCAGATTTTGGGGGTTCTAAACCCTAATGTGTAGACTTTTTAAAAAGTTCTACTGTTTCTTTAGATAGAAAGCATCACAATATTGATTTTTATGTATTATTAGGATGCCATTTAGATATTTAGTATTCTAATGCAACTAATAATCACATGTAAGATTCTGTTTATAATTAAGTTCATCAGAAAAGTGGCATACTGTATGAGAAAACATTTCTAAATTGCACATTTTCTGTGAATAATTGCATTTTTATTTTATCATCATCATCTTGGTTATTTAAAGAAACTTATATAAGTTTATATAAAAGAAAATGTAAATTTGAGAAATCATGTCATTACTGGGTAATTGCCACTTCTTTCCTTCTTACTAAATTGTTTCATGATTTCACTTATATGTGGAATCTCAAGGTCAAAACAAAATAACAAGCAAAACAAGAGTTACAAACTCATATATACAGAAAACAAACTGATGGTTACCAGAGGGGAAAGGATTGGGGGGCATGGGTGAAACATGTGAAAGGCACTAAGAGGTACACATTTCCAATTATAAAATAATTAAGTCAGAGAGATGTAGTGTACAGCATAGGGAATATAGTCAATAATATTGTAATGACTTTGTATGATGACAGAAGGTTACTAGAATTGTGGTGGTGATCACAGATATCCAATCACTGTGCTGTACATCTGAAACTAATGTAATAGTGTGTGTCAGTTATACTTAAAAAAAAAAGTTGTTTCGTACTTTCTGGTATTATTTGAGTTATATTTTGAGACTGACTACTTTGTATTAGTTCGCTTTTTTTTTTTTTCTTTTTTTTTTTGCTTTAAAGTAAATTAACATAGGAACACATTCTATATTAAAATTTAGTTAAAATATTTTTTGTTGTGTTTTGTTATTACTGTTTAAACAGGCCTTTGTTGAAAATAATCCTGCCATTAAATGGTGTCCTACTCCAGGCTGTGAAAGAGCAGTCAGACTAACAAAACAAGGCTCAAATACATCTGGGTCTGATACACTCAGCTTCCCCTTGCTCAGAGCTCCTGCTGTGGACTGTGGAAAAGGACACCTCTTCTGCTGGTCAGTACAAGACAAGTTGGAATTAGCCTAGGCACCTTCCTAATAGTTCTTAAAGAATTTGTACCTTCAATCAGGCTTTTAAATTTTACTGTTTGGTATTATTCTTATTAATTAAGTATATTGCATATACATTTATTGTGTGCTTGATATGTGCTGAGTACTGTGCCAAATATTTTGACATATTGAGTTCTCCTGTCTTTGCTACGAGTTGAGTGCTGTTATTATATCCATTTTACAGATAAAGAAACTCCAGCTCAGAGAAGTTGCCCGGGATTATGCAGCTAAGAAATGGCAGAAATGGGATTAGAGCCCAGCTCCATTTGGTTTCAGAGCCTATGCACTAATATCAGATTGCTGACCACAGATTAGAAAATGTTTAGAGTTTCACTCTGTTCCTTAAAATAAAAGTCTCCAGCCCTGGTCAGTATGCCAAGTGGTTAGAGCATTGGCTTACGCACCCAAGGGTCTTGGGTTTTATTCCCAGTGAAGGGCACATACCTGGGTTGTAGGTTCGCTCCCCTCCCCCAGTCAGGGCATGTGCTCTCTCACATTGATGTTTATCTTTCTCTCTCTCTCTGTCTCTCTTTCTCTCCCTTCTTCCCTTCTGCTCTCTCTGAAAAGCAGTGGAAAAAATATCCCCAGGAAAGAATTAACAAACAAACAAAAAATCTCTAGCAGTGATTCTTAACTAGGGATGCCCAGAATTACTGACAACTTTTCCAAATTGTCATCCCAAGCCTAGCAAGTCATGTTTTGATTTAGTAGATTTTGGAGGAGGGATCCAAAAAGCTCTTAGATGATTCTAATGCAGAGACCTACTTAGGAACTACTTTGTATGTCTTTAATTTCCAGTGCCTGATAAGTACTCAATAAGTATAAACTGATGATAAATCAATAATGGGTGGTATGTAACTATGTTTGCCTGACATCAGTATTCTAACTTTATTCAGAGTAGATTCAATGATAATTAACTTTTATTTAATTAAATGATCAAGAAAATAAGTAGTATTTTTTCTTTTTTGCTCATTTGTAGATTTATCACATATGCAAGGATATACTTTAGATGAATATAATACTCTTTACTTATCTACTTATTAGAACCAAAATTAAATTATAGACTTGCTAGATAATAAAAAGGCATAGTAATAAAATATTCCTATCCTGAAAGATCTGTTTCTTACCCTCAGCATCATTGTCATTAGCTAAAAATATTTATTCACCTGTCAACCTATATATAGCATAAACTCTAGGTCAGGTGCTACAAACAGTTACCCACACCAATTTTTGAAAATAAAGTTTTATTGGAACAAATACTTCTTGGCCACCAAAAATTTTATCACTTCCTGTTCTTATTCCTATAGTAGAGCTTTTCCTGTAATCAGAAATTTCAAAAAAAATTTTAAATAAATTCTGAGTAGAATTCTGCTCTTCTGTAATGTCTTAAAGAGAGAAAAAAATCTGCTGCATGCAAAAGGAAGCTTTGCAAGAGAGATCTTTATAAAATAAAGGCATGTGATTCTAGGTTTGCTTCTTTCTTTCCCCAAAAAGCTCAGAAATACTCTTTAAAGATGATTACAAAAACCACAAGAAATGGCAATAATAATTTCTTCTTTTTAAGAACAGCATGTGACAGAGTCAGTTGAGAGTCACTCCCAAGAGATGTCTGCCTGAGTAGAACTGAATGTATTCATTGTTAGGAGGGAAGGTAGGAGTAGGCATTTATTTCCCTTCCCACCAAAGGATAGCCTTTTCTATTATAAATTGTTCACCAACCAATTCTGTACCCTTTATAACTCAATCCAGAACGCTCTCTCCCCAAGCCTGTATAACTGCAAATTTGTCTCATCTTGACAATGTTATCCCATCAAAACCTGAATGGAATCTCACTTGAACCAGTGACTGCCCTCTGTTTTTCTTTTTATTAAGTAGAACATGCTACTACTTTGCCCTCTGGACTGACACAAAGTCTTTTTTTCTCTGAGTTAACTCCTTAAAGATTTGTTATCATAAATACTTCTTGATCACCAAAATCTTAATCTGTGAGGAGAAAAATTCAAAATTACCCTGGTATAGTGGTCATTTCTCTATTTTGTCAACTCTGAATGTCTCCTGGTTCTTTTAATCACAAATATATCCGTTGGAAACTGAGAAACTTACTTAGAATTCATCTCTTCTAAATCCGTGCAAGTCAAACCTATTTTAAAGTTATTCACTGAAATTGACTGGCATGAATATTCTAAGTAATAAAATGGTGAGGTTTTTAATATATCATGTAGCTTTGGAGCATTTATTTACTGAACCTATGCAAAGAAGCTTTAAAAATGGTGTCACCACCACCAGGAAACAAATTTGAACACCTGATAGGAAGGTTTGAATCACAGTGATACACCTGGTGAGGTCACAGTATCGGGTTTCTAGTCCTCTTAACTTTCTAGTGAGTCTCGGGGGCACCATGCAGAACTGTTAAGTACTTGGGAAAACTTGGAATGTGAATATCTTGGCACTAAAATTGTATAGTTCATTCTGGTTTCCTCCAATACCCAGGATAAGGATTTTAATACTGCATGCTCTCTTGTTAGGGTCATGAATCTTGATTGAATTAAAGCAACATTTTCATGCTTCATCTCCTTCTCCATCGACAGACAAAGGGACTCTTGATTTACGAGTCCACTGGGTGCCCTGGCTGGTTTGGCTCAGTGGATAGAGCGTCTGCCTGTGGACTGAAGGGTCCCGGGTTCAATTCCAGTCAAGGGCACATGCCAAGGTTGCGGGCCTGATCCCCAGTAGGAGACGTGCAGGAGGCAGCTGATTAATGATTCACTCTCATCATTGATGTTTTTATCTCTCTCTCCCTCTCCCTTCCTCCCTGAAATCAATAAAAATACATATTAAAGAAAGATGTAAAAAAATAAAAAATCAGTGGAGCCCTAAGCGGTTTGGCTCAATGGATAAAGCGTCAGCCTGCGGACTGAAAGGTCCCAGGTTTGATTCCGGTCAAGGGCATGTACTTGGTTGTGGGCACATCCCCAGTAGGAGGTGTGCAGGAGGCAGCTGATCGATGTTTCTAACTCTCTATCCCTCTCCCTTCCTCTCTGTAAAAAATCAATAAAATATATTTTTTAAAAATCAATGGAAAATAAATACATACATAAAATAAACAGAGGTAACAATATTTAAAAAAGAGAGAGAGAGAAAGTCCATTGGGCAAAATAAATGAGGCTGTCCTTGTTTGTGGACCTAATAGTTGAGTCTCATCCTTTCTTGCAAAATCAGAGTCTCAGACCCTTACCTTAATAGCTCTGGTTCTGGGAAAAAAAGATTTCCCCAGACTGGCAGTATTCAGCTATTTAAGTATCAGAGTTTTTCCAGCTAACAGAATATTCCCCATTTTTTCTAGGCCAGGAATGAAAACAGGATGCTATTTATGTATTTGGTAGAGATCAATCATAAGACCGTGTTTAAATATCATATCTTCTATATAAAGTAGCATACCCATATAAATACAGGTTTATCCCACTACCCTAAAGTGTTCCTATGAAACCTTTCGTAAGTGTAATAAGTGGAATGACATAAAGTGAAAATGCAGTGACGATTCTTTTACATGGAAAAATTTTGAGTGTACCCAGACCCAAAATATAACCTATCAAATCATACCAAGTACCACATAAAACACCACCAACATGTAGTAAAAGCAGCGCCACTCCCTCTGCTCCAGTGCATGCTGCTTATACAGTGGCCTGCTGCAAGACCAACGCTGAATGCCATTTTCACTTTCCGCCTTTTTTTATTTTTCTGCCAATGGTTGTGCGTGTTGACACATTTTCAAGGAAAGAACCATCCCTTGGTCTCTTGAAATTAGTTAACCTTCATATTTGGATAGGGTTAAGAATTTTAGATTAGACAACAATTTTTTTTCTTTATAATTTCTTACCAGGCACTTTTTCCCCTAAATGAACCCACTGTATTAATTTCAGTGGACTGTGTGCCAAAATTCCCCTTCCCATTCACTTGTTTTTAGTGACATTTTGAGGTGCAGTCTCAACAATAGGTACCAGGTCTGTCAGAATACTTGTCATCAATCATTGGTGTTTTGATTAAAACTTTCTTCAGGAATTTAGGTTTCAAGTACCTGAGAATATTCCAGTATCTTCATTACTTCTCTCAGAAGAACCTCACTTCCTACACACTGATAATCCAGATCATCAGTCACCTATCAGTCAGTAGCATTGTTATTACCAGACTTGAAGAAGTTCAGCCTTATTTTTCAGATGCCTTCGTTTTCAAAGATCTATAATAGTATTAAGTGGCAGCCTCTAGCTCTCTCTAATTTGTGGCCCTTGCTCTAGCTTCTCCTTTTTATACCCACTCTTAGCATTGCATTGAGAACTAGTGGAAACTGTGCCAATCAGTTATAGCATCCAGAAGAGATCCCACTGCTCGGGCTAGCACCTGAGGAAGTAGCAGGTCTGTCCTGTGAGGCTCTAGAAAAGGAAACCAGCTGCTACTGTCTAATGCAGCACAACTTCAGAGAATCAAGCATAGTGATAAATAGTTGTGGACTTTTGAAGAAGTAGCATTTATATTTTCAGACCCCTGTGATTATTTTCTGGGTCCTGTTAGAAATTGTTGTAAGAGCAGAGCTAGTCATACTGGTATTGATTCTACTAGGGGGAAAAATATTGAATACTCTAATTAATTTCCAGGGGGTGAAAATCTTAAACTTAATGGAAATAATTTATTTCACTGACTTCATTTGTTTTGTTTTAGGTACTGCAGATATATAAGGCTATTCTATACCTTAATTTTTGTTTTGTAAATGAATCATGAGGAATACAGATTCTGTATATCTACATACATTCTCAAGCACCATATGGAAACACTGTTCCTAGTTCTGTGGAATATTTCTAGCACTAGTGAATGGTAGTATTCGTGCCAATTTAAAATTAACAGTTATTACAGATATCCCTTACATTTTAGGACAGCAGAGTTGACTTTGATATGTACTAAAAGAATTCTAATATATCTAATTCCATGCCTCAGTTTTCTCAACTTCAAAATTGGAAGAGTTACTTTCCACCTATTCTTTTACCTGATGTTGATGAAGAATATTTTGTAAATTGCCATTTCTATGTTTTCCTTTTTAGGGAGTGCCTTGGTGAAGCACATGAGCCTTGTGACTGCCAAACATGGAAAAATTGGCTACAAAAGATAACTGAAATGAAACCAGAAGAACGTAAGCTGAATTTTTAGATAGCTATGCTACATATTTTCTGATTGCATACAAAAGATAATGTGGTCATAGTTCTTCATTTAAGAAGTTTTCAAGTTTGTTCATGCTAGGGTTCCCCTGTTAACATCACCCCTCTAATCAGCATCCTTTTGGAGATGACAGAATTTGCAAGAGGGACTCATAGGCAGGTTCCATGTTTCTAGCTGACTTGTTTTCCAACCTAAGATAGGCAGGGTAAACAGGGGTCTCGTTAAGGCTCTTCCTACAGCCTTCCCTGTTATCCTGGGTTAGGCTAACTAACTCTGTACTTTATGGGGAGAAATGTATGATCTGTAGTGAGAGGAAGCTTCTTATTTCCCTGGAAGCTTCCAGTGGAGAAGACAAGTAGATTCCTTGCTACTGTGTTTCTGTGGACTTATTAAATGCCATGTCAATAATGATTTTTATTGAGACTTCTATAAATACATTATCTCAATTCTCACAGAAATTGGTGAGATTAATATTAGTAATCCCATTTTACAAATGAGGAAATTAACACATTTTATTGAGTGACACAGGGCACAGGCCTGGTAAATAGAATGGGTTTGAATTAGCCTTCCTAATAGCAATTATTGCATTTAACAAGTAAATATATATGTTTTATAACAACTTTTATCTTCTGAAGTGTTTTATACAACTATTTTCTTTGAAATTAATATAGATGAAAATTAATTTAGAGGGGTTTTCTTTGCTTTTTAGATAATGGAGTTAGTTTGAGGAACTGCAAATTAGGACTAAGAATTTACTCAGTAATTTACACTTATTAATGAGCAAAGTACATGTTAAAAATGATGTTGTCCTTCCAAGAGTGTATGAGTTCTATAAATAGATTAGTACCATTACCTACAACACCTTTAAACATGACAACACAATTAGATTTGCTTTCTTTTCTTGCTTCTGACATCTATGTTTCTATTAGAGGTGGCTTGCTATTGTCCACATACCTACATTTTTTTATACATATCTAAGAAGCTTAAAGTTAAGGTCCATGGGAGAAGATTGCAAGAGATGAGGCTTGAAAGGTGGGTGTTTCCAGATTGTGAGGGTTCTTGCCAAATTGTCTGAATTTATCCTAATAACAGAATAAGCCATAGAATACATTTTTTTAAATAGAGATGTGGCATTATCAGAAATACTTTTATCAAGATAGACAACTAGGAAGAGTAAACTAAAGGAGAGAGACCAGAAGTAGGGCAGTGAATTTTTTTTTTTTAATATATTTTATTGATTTTTTACAGAGAGGAAGGGAGAGAGATAGAGAGTTAGAAACATCGATGAGAGAGAAACATCGATCAGCTGCCTCCCGCACATCCCCTACTGGGAATATGCCCGCAACCCAGGTACATGCCCTTGACCGGAATCGAACCTGGGACCTTTCAGTCCGCAGGCCGACGCTCTATCCACTGAGCCAAACCGGTTTCGGCTGGGCAGTGAATTTTTACTTTGGATCAGATGGTGGATCATGATACCATTAGTTAATTTAGGAACTTGAAATAAGGGAGTTACATTTAGGGGAAAATAACGAGTTTTGCTGTGGACATTTTGAACTTGTACTTTCAGGACATATGTCAAAGATGTAGTAGAAGTTGCCTGCAGCTCAGAAAACTTAGGAGAAACTTGTTAACTTTTGAATGGTATCTTCATTGTTTATTTAACATTTTTTTCTGCTACTTTGTTAGAATACAGAAATAAGATGCCCTCTACGCTCTTGAAATGTACATTTCATTTTACTTTTATTTTTGAAATGTACATTTTAGAGATGGAGACAGCTATATACAAAACTAAGGGAAAAAGAGTATTATAAATGCTGTGAGAGAACAGTGTACCTGCAATACATTGTGAGGATGGGGAGAGGGATAAAAGGAGGTTAGTTGTGTTATCTCCAAGGAGAGAATCAGAAAAAGTTTATAAAAGAATTGATGCATAAGCTGCATCTTGAAAGCAGGTAGATGCCCTTCACAGAGACCAGAATTGGAAGGGCATTCCAGGCATAGGCTGAAGGAGGAATGCGAAGCAGCGTGGCATAGTCCAGGACTACAGACAATTCAGTACAGCCAGTGCAAAGGAAGGCACATTGAGGGATCAAACTGCACAGACAGAAATGTGAATCAGGCTAGGGGACTGTCTAGGGCGGGGGGATAAAATGGACACATATGTAATACCCTTTGTAATACTTTAAGCAATAAAAATAAAAAAAAAAAAAAAAGAAATGTGAATCAGGTGTCTGGGTGGGTTATAAGCAATCCTGGAAGGTCTGGCTTTATCCCGAAACACTGAGAAAGTAGGTGTTGCCATATTACTAGGGTTCTTGCCAAATTTATCCTAGTAACAGAAGCCATAGAAAGCATTTTTTTTAAGTAGGGAAGTGGCATTATCAGAGATATTTTTATCAAGATAGATGACAGGGAAGGGTAGACTGAAGGAGAGAAGAAGGGGTTTTGAATAGGAGACGTAACTGAAGATGCTTACTTAGATCACTTGGGCAGAGGTGTGGATGATGGATTAGAGACTATTGAAACATTAGGTAAGAAAGCTGTTTCTGAGACAACTTCAGAATGTCCAAGAGGATTCGAGGGCTTGAACAAGACAGAGGCAATGCCGACGAGAGAGGAGAAGTGTATGCAGGAGAGTTAAGATGTCATACTAAGTTGAAAAGTGAGGGAGGGTACTTACTCGTTGCCAAAAGAGTTAATATACCACAGGAAATAATTAGTATAATATATTATTTGATTCTTTAATAGTAAGTAGCCAGAAGTGTCTGATTTGAGATGTAAAACAAATATTTTGAAATGGGTGATTATTTTCAGTTATCCTTTAAAATTCTAAAGTTGGATCAATTACTCCATATCCACTAACAAGCTTTACTAGGGAAGGAGAGGAAGAACGGCCAGGCCAGTAAGTCCAGGTTATTGGTGGCACTGTGACCGACTACCTTTACACGTGAAAGTGATGCTGGTAATGAGGAAGGAAATGTAATAGAACTAGGAAATGATATACATGGTGTATACATGTTTACTTCTGGTGGCCAGAGATAGGGAGACCTCAAATTAAAAACTGAAGATCACACTCAAAAAGTTCCAAATAGGGTTTTAATTCCGAGACATGGAGAAACTGTAGAAAATTGGATAGTAGGCAAGAGAGTGAGGATACCTATGAAGTGTCTACCAGAAGAGACAAAGCCAAGGCTGCAGAGAATGTTCCCAGCTGCTGGGAAAAACACAAGAGTTTTCTCACTTTTCTCCCACCGAAAGGTGTTGACTAGTCGGTTATTATAATGGCCACTTAAATTTATGAAATTGAGCCCTGACCAATGTGGCTCAGTGTTCAGAACATCGGACCAAGCACCAAAGGATTATGGGTTCGATTCCTGGTCAAGGGCACATACTTGGGTTACAGGTTCAAACCCTGGCCCCAGTCAGGGCACTTGCGGGAGGCAACCAATCAGTGTGTCTCTCTCACACCAGTTTCTCTCTCTCTCTCTCTCCCTCCCTCCCTCTCTCTCTCCCTCCCTCCCTCCCCTCCTCCCCTACCTTCCTCTCTCCCTCTTTTTCCCCTCCCCTCTCCTCTCTCTAGAAAAAAATAAATAAATGGAAAAAATACCTTTAGGTGAGGATTAACAAAAAAAAAAAATTAGGTTGAAGCTTAAAGCAAATAGTAATAAGCCAAGTATAATACTTAAGTAGACATCATTATATTTAAAAAAAAGAAAAGTATGATTAAATACACCATGGACTTTATATATTACTTTGGCTCATGATCTCATATCTGGCATAAACATTTTACATCAAACTTGTAGATTCATGGGAAAGATTCTCCCTTATGCCCAGTGTTCCATAGTCATTGAATTATGAGACTGAAAAGGAGCAACAAAATTTAATTCATGAAAAAAAGTATTAGAAAATAGATCAGTTTAAAGAATTAATTCCACATAAAGGTTCAGGTACTATTTTTAAGTTCTGAAACTGCCTCTAGTACAGCGGTTCTCAACCTGTGGGTCTCCACCCCTTTGGGGGTCGAACGACCCTTTCACAGGGGTCGCCTAAGACCATCGGAAAACACATATATAATTACATATTGTTTTGTGGTTAATCCTGTGCTTTAATTATGCTCAATTTGTAACAATGAAATTGGGGGTCACCACAACATGAGGAACTGTATTAAAGGGTCGCGGCATTAGGAAGGTTGAGAACCACTGCTCTAGTATGTCTAAATCAAAGCAAGAAGCAGGAATATTTTCTGAGAAATAATGGTTATTTATAAAATTGTCAGATCAGCCCTGGCTGGTGTGGTTCATGGTTAGAGTATCAGCTGGCACACCAAAGGTTCCCAGGTTCGATTCCCAGTCAAGGGCACATACCTGGGTTGTGGATTCAATCCCGGCTCTAGTTAGGGTACATTCAGTAGGCAACCAATTAATCTTTCTCTCTCTCTCTCTCTTTCTCTCTCTCTACCCCCTCTCCCTCCTTCCCTCCCTCTTTCTAAAATTCAATGGAAAAAATATCCTCAGGTGAAGATTAACAAATATAAGTAAATAAATAAGATTGTCAAATCAGTTTTTTCATAGTACATAATAAATGGTTATTGAATGGAATTCAAATTGTCTTTTTAAGAATTCAGTCTTTAAAAAGAACTTTGTTTTCACTTTCATACATATTGACCCTACTAATAGGTCTTAGATTCTGTTATTCTCAAATATTTTATTAAATGAAGTTAATATTTCTTAGAAAGAGACCTAAGCACACGAGATTATAAAGGAAAGAAGATCGAGATATATAGACATATAACTGAAGTAAAGGGAAGAGTATGGAAGTCAGTACGAGCGAAGACGACTCATCAGGTAGATTGAAGGGAGGTAAGGTATTGCAGGTATGAAGAACAGTATGTATAAAGGGCAGATGTATGAAATAAGCGTGTTCAGAGAACTGGAAGTGAAGGCATTTTTTTTTTTCAGCACAAGTTTTTGTTGTAATAGTGGTCATTTTCTGAACATGACTTATTTCATGCAATCTACTAAAATGCAGTTAGGAACTAGCATTCTCTCCAAGGGTGGGAGAAAAAACACTGTTATATTGCAGGCCACACAGCTACTTTGTTTTAATGGCTTTGTGCTTTATTTATTGTAACAATGGACAATAAGGTCATAAGAACATGTGAGAATCTCTGAGCTAAAAATAGTGTTGATGCTGAAGGGAGGAGAAAGGCCACTACATGTAAACAAAAATTAGATATTTGTACTTAGTAATTAGTTTTATAACTATACCCTTTGTAAACAGCATTACCTTTCCAGTTTGATCTTATTGGCCATGAGTATAGTTCATTCCAACACCCTAATCAAACCATCATCTACCAATGGGTTTTGAACTGGAGTGGAGTGTGATCAGTTCATTGCTGCTGTTGCTATTATTTGTTTTTTGCTGTGTGGAATTGAAAACCAGTACTTCATAGTCCAGCAGTAGATGCTGTGCTATTGTTGGCACAAACAAGGGTTTCTTGTGGCAAGGTGGCCCCCTCCTCCACTGCTGGGCTCCATCAGAGTGCTGCTCCTCGTCCCAGCTCTTCCAGTTCATATGCAGAGCCATTTCTGAGGGAGGGCTCAGTCAGCTCAAACCTTTGCCTCCTTCCCTTTCCAGGGATTTACATCTGGAGGTTGGGTAAGTTTTCCTTTTAAACATCAGTATTCAAAACATCTGATTTCTCCACTGCTTTTAACATTAGAACTAATCCCTTACCCCACCTTTCTGAGAGTGTCTGCATATAATCAGAGCCTTGATTGGACGGGCCACTTTGAGTGATTCCAAAGTGATTTTCTGACACCTCTTTCAGTAAGAAAACATAGGGCTTCTCTGAGCTCATAGAGCTAGAAAACAGAACAAACTTGATTATTGACATTTCTTGCAGGAAAAAATAAGTTTTTAATTTTGCATCTAGAACTGCCTCTAGCCCCTAACTCTCCACTGTGGGGGGAAAGTTTATAGAATGTAAAATGTCAAATTTAGAATATTTTAAAAGCATGGCATTCCTTTAAGATTGCAGGTTTGTTTTTTTCAAATTTATCTTTAATGTTGAAAATACTACAGATGTCCCCTTTCTTTCTCCATTGGCTCTCTCCACCCTGCCCTGGCCTCCAGATCTCAAATTTAGTAGAATGAATTGAGTTTAAGATGATGAAGAACGTAGATTTGTGTGGGGACAGAATGTGGGAGAAGTTTGCCAGGTAGACAGTAGCTAAATCATAAAGGGTTTTATATTCTTTGTTAAAGCAATTTGGTTTTATTTTGTAGTCCGTAGTAATTAGAGATTACTGTGTAGGCTGTATTGTGGGGGGTGGGAGCAGGGAGAAGGAGCTGGAGAGATAAGTTGGTTGTCTGTGTTTTAATTGTCTAGGCAGGAAGTGTGGAGGACCCTCGCAAAAGCAATAAAATTGGAAATGGAGAGGAACGGGTATGAAAAAGAGGTAGAATCAATGGGACATGGTGGGTTAAGGAAAGAGAAGGGTGTGTCCAAGATCATGCTCTTCCTGGATTGACTTGAGTAGATGATCTTATCTTTACCAGGGTAGGAGATAGAGAAAGAAGCGATTTGGGGGTCAATGGTAAGTTTAGTTTTAGACATGTCACATTGGGTTTATTTTTAGCTCATCTAAAATAATCATGGGTAAAGTGATGTTAATATTTCAATATAATTTTCATGTTTTTTACTGTGAGGAAGACTTTATGGCAATTATATTGACAACTGGCATATTTCAGAAATTATTGTCGAAAGTAACCATTCTTTCTATATTTTCTCTGATGCAATAATTATTTTAAACAGAGAATAACATAATGCTTTCTTTTAACTTTAGATATATTTCTTCCCCAGTTTATTCAAGCACAGCTTTAGGGAGAAATCTCTTTTAAATCAGATTTCCTAAATAGAGCTTTTGGAACACAGCTCCTTATCCTATAGTCATGCTATTTAAAATGAGGCAGTTTAAAAGTTTTGCCATAGAGCCTAGTGGGAAAATAAACCTGTGTTTAAAATTGAGAGGCAACCTGCAAAGAACACTCGGGGTTTTCCCTTGCAGTTCTATATTAAATCATTTATCTTTGTGTTTGTGCTTAATATCCTAAAGTTGTGGGAGTTAGTGAAGCTTATGAGGATGCTGCCAACTGTCTCTGGTTGTTAACTAACTCCAAGCCTTGTGCTAACTGTAAATCTCCAATACAGAAGAATGAGGGATGCAATCACATGCAGTGTGCTAAGGTAAGAAGCTAAAGAGGATTGTGAATGTTTTGCAATTGATTAGCAATTTGATTGGTTGTTGTAAACATAAAAATGTTTTTAGATTTCAGATGGATCCTAGGAGATTGCATTCTACATTCTTTTTGAGTAACTTAAGTATTGATTTATATTACTAAATTTGACGCTCATGGTGAATGTTAAAAATAAGAGTAAGGATCCAGTGGTATTTGGCCAGAAGATCCGAAACACCTGAGTCCTTCCCTGCCAATCACCTTCCCAGTGAGGGTCCTGAGAGAGTTTTGTCTATGTATAAATAGTAGTATTAAATGATAGTATACTACTGTGTATAGATCTCTTGCAAGGTTGGTTTTGGAGCACATAGCTTAGACTCAAGTCCCAAGCCAGGCCCCAGGAATCCCCATAAGTCTAAATCTAAATCTTGTTGTCTTTATATAAGATATGTGTACAATAAAGGTGCCCAAAGCATTGGGCAGACTTTAGGTCTGCTAATGAAACTGTTAATTAAATAAGTAATTCATTCTTAAATTGAAAATGAAAATGCCAACAAAGACCTACTTGACTAAAAAATGATTAATATGTATAATTACTATTAGACAGCTACCCTCCTGACTTAGTTGCATAGAAAGAAACTACCATATTTAAAACAAATACTCTGGAATTAGGTTAACAATATTTTATCCTATGCCTAAATGTATGAACATTTTTAAAAATCATAATGATAGTCCAATTTTTTTCTTGTCATTGGAAGTGCCATGAATATAAAAATATTTTAAATTATTGATAGGACAGTGTAATTTCTATTATTTAGGACTAGAGGCCCAGTGCACGAAATTTGTGCATGGGTAGGGTCCCTAGTGGCTGCCAGGGTCTTCCTTCATTCCACGGCACCCCTTGGTAGTCAGCACACGTCATAGCGAGTGATCGAACTCCCAGTAGGTCGAACTCCTGAGGGGACACTTTGCATATTAGGCATATACATTATATATACACACACACACACACCACACACACACAAACACACACACACACACACATACACATATATATATGTATATGTATATGTACATACACACACACACACACACACACACTAGAGGCCCGGTGCACGAAATTCATGCATGGGTAGGGTCCCTAGGCCTGGCCAGCGATCAGGGCCTTCCTTCCCCAGCTGCTGGCCGGGGCCTTCCTTCATTCCGCGCCGCCCCCTGGTGGTCAGTGCACATCAGGGGGCAATCAAACTCCCGGTTGAACTCCCGAGGGGACACTTTGCATATTAGCCTTTTATATAGATAGATAGATGTGACAGAAATACAAATAGTTAAGATTCCAATAAAATATATTAATATCTTCTAAGTATTATTTTATTTTCAACCTTAGAAACTAATGATCATTATTATTATGACTTTTAACACATTGTTTGCGGGTAGTTTTTATCGCGCGCTAACAGGTGGCGCAGGCCATTTTTGCTAATTTTTTGCACAAGTGGGCAACGTTCAGTAAAATTACAACAATTTTAGTTTACATATTTATACGTTACCCGCATTCTACCGCTAGTCTATAAAAAACGTATTAATACGTGTCCCGCGCTCTACTACACTGGTAGAACGTATAAATACGTAAAATGTATAAATACGTTTCCCACATACAATGTGTTAAAATAATGGTAGTTACTCAATGATTTTTACAAGCTTATCTATATATATAAAAGCCTAGCCCTAGCCGGTTTGGCTCAGTGGATAGAGTGTCGGCCTGCAGACTGAAGGGTCCCAGGTTCGTTTCCGGTCAAGGGCATGTACCTTGGTTGCGGGCACATCCCCAGTGAGGGGTGTGCAGGAGGCAGCTGATCGATGTTTCTCTCTCATCGATGTTTCTAACTCTCTATCCCTCTCCCTTCCTCTCTGCAAAAAATCAATAAAATATTTAAAGAAAAAAGAAAGCCTAAGTGACTGTCCAACCAGTAGCTATGACGCACAATGACCACCAGGGGGCAGACACTCCAACTGGTAGCTATGACACACACTGAACACCAGGGAGCAGATACTCAATGCAGGAGTTGCCAAGCTGCGGTGACTTGGCAGCTGTGGTTCTCGGGTGATGCACCCGGAACCAGAAAGGAGGGGACCCAGTTCCGGGGCACATCACTTGAGAACCATCCTTTCACAATCTGGGACCCCTCAGGGGATGTCAGAGAGCCAGTTTCTGCTTTATCCCCACAGGCCAGGCCAAGGGATCCCACTGGTGCACGAATCCGTGCACCAGGCCTCTAGTATTACTATAAAATTAACAGAAAGGAATTGACTTAGTGAAACAGTATTAATAATTTCCTAAGAGGCAAGAAGAAAAGCCTAGTACAGTATTCTGAGCAGAGTGCTTATTAGTTAGCTGATTAGGCCAAAATTATTTCTTTTGTTTTGTGGTCTTAGTCTCCAAAATTCATAGTAGTTTTTTCTTGGAAAATGTGATATAGACAGCGTAGATGTGTAAAGAAATACAGGTTGACCATAAAAATCAGCAGTTGGGTTACTAACAAAGGAGCAGGATCCAACATTACCTTTATTTCTTTAACACAGTGGTTCTCAACCTTCCTAATGCCGCAACCCTTTAATACAGTTCCTCATGTTGTGGTGACCCCCAACCATAAAATTATTTTTGTTGCTACTTCATAACTGTAATTTTGCTACTGTTATGAATCGTAATGTAAATATCTGATATGCAGGATGTATTTTCATTGTTACAAATTGAACATAATTAAAGCATAGTAATTAATCACAAAAACAATATGTAATTATATATGTGTTTTCTGATGGTCTTAGGCGACCCCTGTGAAAGGGTCGTTCCACCCCCTAAGGATTCGCGACCCACAGGCTGAGAACTGCTGCTGTAACAGCATCTACCAGTAGTATTTGATTAATATGTATTTAGTGAGTGAACGTTTTCATGAATTAACCAAACTAAGGCTATCAGGTAGTTTATCTTAAACAGATTTTGCTTAAGCTTCTTTAAGCATTTATAAGAAGCATTTACTTATATAGTATGTAAATTTAGCAGTCTTGTTTAATATACATCTAAAGTATTTGCATTGAACAAAAACAAAAAAAAAACACCTGATAAGTAATGCTTTTTTGTGTTTTTTTATTTTATGGTTTTTTTAAATATAAGTATAGTTGGCATACAATGTTGTATTAGTTTCAGATGTACAACATAGTGATGCAACATTTATATACCTTACAATATGATCACACTAAGTCTAGTAATCATCTGTCACTTTGCAAGCTTATCACAATATTATTTACGATGTTCCCCTTGATAAGTACTTCTCAGGACATAGAAGAAGACATCTAAAAAGTAATGGGCTTGCTACAGAAAAATTTTATACTTTGGGAATTTTTTTTAAATGTAAAAGTGGGACAACAAACAATTTATGTGTAATTGAATTCATGCTCTAACACAGTGACTAAATCATAATATACTTTTATTAATGCCCCAGTGTTAGTAATGATTCAGTAGAGCTTTTACTTTCTGGAATCAAATTGTTAAATATTTTTTTAAATGAGAAATTTGGCCCTATAAAAATAAATTTATTAATTTTTAAAACACTCATTACTCTATTCGTTACCCTTTTGAGACTATTTAGATTTTGCATTTACACATTTTAATACATATTTTTTAATTTATCCGGGTTATATTGATTAATTAAATAGGTTTCATGTATACAGTTCCATAATACATCATCTATGTATTGTATTGTGTGTTCACCCTGCATAGTCTGTCTCCTTTCATCACCGTTTATCCCCCCGTACCCTCTTCTACCTGCCCCTACTCCCTTCCTCTGGTAATTACCATACTGATGTCTATGTCTATGAGGGTTGTTTTTTGTGTGGATTTTTTTTCTTAATCCCTTCACCTATTTCACACATCCAGATACTAGTAGAATAAATATTGAAAAAGAAGATCTCGTTAATCTAGAAACTTAAGTAATATATACAAAGTGTACGACATATGAAGAAAAAAATATTTTTTAAATGAAGAAATTTTTAAGAACCCTATCTGTAAGACACAAAAGATGACAAACAAATGAAAAGATACAGTTCTTGGATAGAAAGATTCCAACAAAAATACCAACAGGTTTTTTGTTATGCATCTAGATAAGCAAAAGTTCATATGGAAAAATAAAGCAAGAATAGCTGGGAAAACTCTGAAAAAGAACAATGAGGAGGAACTAGCCTTATCAAATAGTAAGAGATATTATAAAAGCTCAATAATTAAAATAGCACAGTGCTGGCACATGAATCTACATATCAGTGGAACAGAATAGAAAGAAAGCCCAGAAAATAGACAAAGATAAATGGGAATTTAGCATATGGTAAAGTAGGCATCTCCAAACAGTGGATTAACCTGAAGTGTTCAAAATGGTAGTGAGATAACTGGAAAAAATGAAGTTGAATTCATATTGTATCCCCAGATAACATATAAACAGCTCAAAGTCTTACATTTAAAAAAAAAAAGACTATTAAAGTATCAAAAAAGAACATAGCCTTGGAATGGGAAGATCTTTCTGACTCAAAACCCATAAGCATACAAAAGGGTGGGGATGCATTTTCATACTGGAATGCTCAGTTTTTTGGCACTGTCTAATAAGTATAGTAATTGGGAAACTGAAAATTTCTAAAAAATGAGAAACAGGTTATATAGCAGCTGTGCTACTAAGAGACCTTTTAAACTTGTTCTCAGTTTCAAAACCAATTTGTCAGTTACCAGATGTTTTCAAATAGACTGGTAAAGCTTTATAGACCTAAGTAAGATTACCATGAACTTAGAAATGAAACATTTGTTGGTATATGTTTTTATTATTTGTAAAAAATATCCCTATTGATTTTTTTTCTAATTGATATTTTTAAAGATCCCTTGAGATTATCCATAATATCATGACTTCCATTGAGCTTATTTGTATAAACAGTAATCTTAAACTAACCCCACATCTTTCCAGAGTGCAGATAAGGCTTCAGAGGAAATGTGAAAAAGAGGGTGTGTCTTTAAGATTTATTTCTGGTCACACAGGCAGGATTGTTTAATCTCTACAAATTGGTAGATTAGAAATTGAAAATAACATGCATATTAACATGGAGAGATGTTTGCATGTATGTTTTCTTTTGAAGTGCAAGTATGACTTTTGCTGGATTTGCCTAGAAGAATGGAAAAAGCACAGTTCTTCCACAGGCGGTTATTATAGATGTACTCGCTATGAAGTCATTCAACATGTGGAGGAGCAATCCAAGGAAATGACTGTGGAGGTAAAGACAACTGTTTAAGCCAACACTTCTGGCTAAGCCACTTAATACCATTGCAAGTGCTTTGCATTTCTCCTTTTCCCATCTTCATCGTAATGAGGTATTAAATTGAATACACTTTAGAGTACCCTTTTATTTAAACAAATGGCTCTGTAAACTTAAGAGCTTTTTTTCCCCTTTTTTTATACTGAAGATAAGAAAAGTCATATGTGTCTCAGTCTCTCTCTGTAATGACTTAAAAACAATTTTTGTATTAAAGTATAGTTGACATACAATATTATATTAGTTTCAGGTATACAACATAGTGATTTGATAGTTACTAATTTATGCCATATGATGTGATCACCACAGTAAATCTAGTAACCATCTGTCACCATACAGAGTTATTATATTATTGACTATATTTTCTGTAGTGTACATTACATCCCTGTGACAAAAACAATTTTAATATAATATCAACAATAGAGTATTATGTTATAGCATATAATAAATATCTTAGTCTACTTGGCTGCCAAAATAAAATATCATAGACTGGGTGGCTTAAACACAGAAATATATTTCTCATAGTTCTGGAAACTAGAAAGTACAAGATCAAGATTCCTGCCAATTCAGTTTCTGGTGGTGACTCTTCCTGGCTTGCAGGCAACTCTGTTTTTGCTTTGTCCTCACATGGTGGAGAGAGAGAGTTCTGGTGTCTCTTCCTCTTATAAGGGCACTAGCTCTATGGGATTATAACCTAATAACTTTTATCACCTCACAGGCCCTTTCTCCAAATAGTCACATTGGGGGTTAGGGCTTCAACAGGAATTTTGGGTGAGTGGGGGAGCACAATTCAATTCATAGCAATAAGATGTGTAATAAAACATTGAAGATTATGATAAACATATGGCTTGAGAGACATCTTTGCCTTACACTCTGGGATTGTGGATTCAGTGGTTTGTCACAGGGAACACAAATGCAGGACTTTGTCCTGGGAGCCTTTAAATGTATTGGTTATTATTTTCTCTCAGTAAAATAGTAAACAAATCTGTATAAATCACTACCTATTACTAATAGAATCGTGAAGTGATTTTTTAAAAAGCAATTTTAAGAGCTAGTACTTTTACTTATAAAAGTCACTTATGGAGTTTTGTTTCCTAGGCTGAGAAAAAACACAAACGGTTTCAGGAACTTGACAGATTTATGCATTATTACACGAGATTTAAAAACCATGAGCATAGCTATCAGGTATGTCCCAAATCATTTCAAATGCAGACTTACACTGTTGTGGATAAATAAAGACAATGATATAAATTATTCATTTCTGTTTCTTTAGTTAGAACAACGCCTTCTTAAAACAGCTAAAGAAAAGATGGAGCAATTGAGTAGAGCTCTCAAAGAAAGTAAGTTATAAGTGGCATGTGGGATGATAAATGTAAAATAGCCTTCGATGCTTGTTAGTCCGCTGCTTCATTGGAAGTTAAGGCCCTTAAGGGAATATATTTATCTCCATTAGCTCACTCTGGTACTATTTGGAGTATTCTGAAACCCAGAGTGCTGCTTAGCATTTGAGTCCTCTGTGATTAGGTTTTCCACCTGGCTTACCTCATCTCCTCAGAATGCAGCCTACGCTGTTAGCAGATGAACACACATCATGGTTTTGCTTACTCTGTGCCACTGCTGTTGCTCTAAAATGTTGAGAAAAGTGGATGGGCCCTAAAAGTCATCTCTGACCTAGTCAAAAGAGCAAGATCTGCATGCCATCCAATTATCTGTGACTGAATTCCCAATGAGTCTTGAGAAAATTTAGCCAAATGCCTAGTGGAGTGGAAATCAAGGACAGACTGGGGAGAAATTACCTCGCTGGTGGATAATAGACACTGGATTCAAAAAGCAAAGACATGAGATAGGGCAAACTTGCAGATCCTGACATGGAAGTTTGGAAAGAACATTTCTAAAAATGGAATTAGAATGTAATATCTCACATTAGAATATAACACCCTTTTTATGAGAATAATTCCCTAATTAAGACAGTAACCATATGTGTCACTAGCAGCTCAGTCTCCTTATTATTAGTACTTAGACTTTTACAGTGACCTAACTATATCACATCAATATCAAACTCTTGAAGTTTAGTCCATGGTACAAATTGAAAAGCAAAACCCTCACAGGTTCTACAGTTCTTCAGCAGGGAATTTTGTCTGTCTCATCACTGATGTATTCCTAATGCTTAGAACAGTACTTAACATACACTAAACACTCAATAAATACCTGTGGATGTTTATTACTCTTTCTGTTCAATCTTTTGCAGGCTAAAGTAAGATATGAAAGAGAATAGCAGAATAAGATATGAAAGAGAACTAAAAGATACAGGATTAGAAAGGAGAAACAAAACTTCACACACTTCTCACTTATAATGAGCAGGGGTGTTTGTTTTATTTTTATTTTTTTACCTCTTAGTTCAGATCCCTATGCTAGGGCAGGTATTTTGGGATGGTCTGTATTTCAGTGTGTGTACATACCCATGTGATTTCTTTCTGCAGATGAACAGAATGATCTTATATCCAAAAGTACTTATGAAATAAATTCTGCTAAATTTCGATTTATTTGTAGTTCAGGAAAAAGCTTGTGTGGTATAATAATTTGGGATGGAACAGTCTCCCAGAATATTATACCACGCTAGATTTTCTTTTTCCCTCTTCCCACTCTCTCTCCCTTTATCTCTCTCCCTGGAGTTTTCTGTTTACTAGCAATTAGTTATTCAGTTGTTCTCGTGTTGCGTCTTTTTCTCCTTTCATAATAGGCATGACTATAACTTGGCTTTTATTTTTTCTTAGCAAACTCTTATTCAGCAAAGTTCCACCAGGGATAACCTAAAAAACTTAGTAAAGCATCGCAGCTCTGAGTTGACCTAAAGCTAGATTGGCTGCCAACAGGGTGAGAACAGAATCCAGGATCAGTTTGTGTGTGCTCTTTCATGACTGCCATGTGCTCTTGGGCTTGTGCGGGTGTTCCATTTATAAATGCATACAAGTCACACACGAGAGTCCTATGTAGGCTTTTAGTCTGCTTCCAATAAATACTATTCAGCTACTTCAAGCTGTTTCTTCTTAGGGGTTCTTTTTTTTCTTTGGAAAATTTAGTTGTGTAATTTTATAATAGCATATTTACAGAAGACTTTTTTACCCTGCCTGGTTTACTTCATAGCTGAAGGAGGCTGTCCAGATACCACTTTCATTGAAGATGCAGTTCATGTGCTCTTAAAAACTCGGCGTATCCTCAAGTGTTCTTATCCCTATGGATTCTTCTTAGAACCTAAAAGCACAAAGAAAGAAATTTTTGAACTCATGCAAGTAAGATATCTTTTTTAAATTAAATTTAAATGTAGTTATTATGAAAAGCAAATTTTTGACCACTTAACTAAGTTTTTTTGATGTAACTAGTCATCAATTTTTTCATTTTAGGGTGGTTTTTAAATAGTAATAAATTGAAATTTTTTTTTATGTTTAAATCGTCATTCGGCAGTTCTGAGCTATGCAGACATTTCTTAGTATGTTTAGTTCTTTGTTTTAAATTAGTTGAGGTGAAATCTGGCCTAATCTTAATTACATAATTAGGAATTTCATCTTCAAAAATGGTGGGCGGGGGGAGCATATTACATATTAAATGGGAAGGTTGTTATTTACCAATTTATTTTAGGAGTGCAACTAAAAAAGTTACAGGACTTTAAAAAACAAAACACCTAAGTCAGCTGATATCTCAGTGCCTGACCAGCTTCATTGTACATTCCTCTTCTAGACCTAAACCCACATCACAGGGCTCTTGCCTTCAGCATTTACGGATAGTCTGCACCACATATCATGCATCTGCATATATAGTGACTTGACTTGAAATTTATTAGTTTTTTTCACATAGACATATTATAAATTCCTTGTACACACCTGGTGTACTCACTCCTTCATGATCTATACCAACTACCTTGCTTAAACACCTATCACATGAGTGCTGTTTCCTATAATGTGCAAAATGGAAACATATGTTAAATGCAGTTACTTCAAAGATTGGATTAATTTCTGACTTCAAAATACTTAGAGTTAACTGAGAAACCAGATAGACTTTGGATTTGCTATTGACTAATCCACTCAGTCTATAATTTTTTTTCTCTTCTTACCATAGACAGACCTAGAAATGGTCACTGAAGACCTTGCCCAAAAAGTCAATAGGCCTTACCTTCGCACACCCCGCCACAAGATCATCAAGGCGGCATGCCTTGTACAGCAGAAGAGGCAGGAATTCCTGGCTTCCGTGGCTCGGGGAGTTGCTCCTGCAGACTCACCTGAAGCTCCCAGGCGCAGGTAAAAGGGATGCACACTGTGGAATCACCCTAGCTCCAGCCACAAACCAGCAGGTTGATTTTTTTAAATCCTACTAGAGTTTATATACCTAAAGTATGGAGAGCTGGTTAAAATATGGTAGCTTCTTTTTGGTGATTTTCCCCCAAGTACTATTTCTATTTTCCTCATTTTTCGTTTGTCATTGTGTAGTTTCTCACCAAGTTAGACTTGGTGAATTTCACACTTCAGTGAACTCATAATTCAGAGTATTCTAATGTGTCATTTCAGATATGTAATGTGTATAGTGATATGATAGCCATAAACATGTTGTAGAATTTGGAAGCCTTGCCAATTTGTCATGGACCTATTTGTATTTTGTGGTGAGGTTGTGAAAAAATTAGAAATCTGATATTAGTAAAGTTACTTAAGTGATATTTATCCTTTAAAGAATAGTTGAATTTTGGTTGTTTTACATACTTATACTACTAATGCCATTATAAGTTGAAGTATTTTTTATTCATAATAATGGCAAGCATTAGAAATTCCTTTGACCCTGTTTTTACATAAACATTTATAACCTAAAAACAGAAAGCAGTCATAAAATACTTTATTTTTCCACCATTTTACACAAACATAAAGTAACTTAGACTTTAAAAGAAATAATATAGTTGTAATAATTTTAATTATATTTAAAATTATTTATATTTAATTATATTCTATAGTTGATCTGCTTTGGTTAAATAAGTTCCAAGCAGAGGAATTAAAATTAATGTTCAAAAGGCAAGGGTCTGATTGTTTGTACTTTGCAGTACTGGTAATAAATCAAATGGTATGTCTAATTTCTTTGTAGCTTTGCTGGTGGAACATGGGATTGGGAATATTTAGGATTTGCATCACCTGAGGTAATTGTTTTGTGGGGGTTTGGCTTGTTTTGTTATATTTTTCCTTAGTATAATCCTGCTTGTATTTGCACCCTTTTCTATTCTAAATCCTCAAACTGTCAGCAGTGTTTTTCTTGTATAATAAAAATGCCTCAGCAGAGCCTGCATCTTAGTTATTTATGGTATTGGGTTATGATCACATTATTAAATGCATCTCCCCTTTATCATTTTTAATTACTGGATAGTCAGAATTAAGGCCAATTTATAGCATGTATTTTTGGAAAATATTGATTAATAGAAATACAAATTTCACTTATTAGAAATGCATTTCTAGTTGTAATATTATTTCAGCCTGAATCTAGTTTTTTAAGTTATTGAGATAACTCAAGAGAATTGGTTTATAATCAGTTGCTAAGGTGGAAACTTAACATTAGTGATGTTTATGCAGTAAGAAATGCTTTGCTTATTAATTGCTTTCTGCTTCTCTTAAGATTTTCACACTCTTCTTGTTTTTTCTTTGTTGTCATATACCATTTTAAAACATAGAAGGTCTAAAATACTAGCACTACAAATAGTAATTGCCGCAAATAAAAAATAAGGCAGAGTGAAAATCTTAATCATACTGCTATTTTCTGAGATTTAAATTGCCACCGTCAATGTTGAGTCTGAATTTTTATATGGTTTTAACAGTTCTCTACACTTTGTCTCCTTCCTTGCTCTTTTATACCATCCAGTGCTTGGAAGGAGGCAGGACAAGCAATGAATCTTTTATCCTTTGTATCCCATTTGTTATCTGCAACTGAAAGACAGTGAAATTGGTTATTATTCAGAAATGACTGTGGCTTATTTAAATCAGATACTTTCTCTTTTCAGCTGCTGAGGATACTTGCAATCACCTTGAGGCTTTTGTATTGGTAGATATATACAAGAAAATATTGACTTGAGAAAACAATTTATGCTTAGAGCTCTGATATGAGGGTTTTAGGTCTACTTAAATTCCCGCCCTCCATGGTAATATCTTAATTAAATGGCTGTCGTAAAACAGATTATGAACCTTTTCTCTACCTGATCTGTGCTTATTATTTCTTTGTTTTAATTACAGCTTTAGGGATATTGGGGGAAATGTCCACGTAAAAGGAGAAATAAACAAGCTTCAGTTATTTAAAAAAAAAAAAAAAAGAGCACTGAAGCTTTTAGAATTTCAAGATAGAAACACAATTTAGCAAAAATAAAACTTTACCAGTGTAGTCACCATCGTGCATGCATCATCTTGCAGCCTCTGGCTCATAGTAACGTTAGGAATCTTGAAATACTCGTCCTTGACTAATTTGGACCTGCTAATATGACTGACACAGATTCACTTTGCAAAAAATAGGAAGGCTTGCCACCTCACATGTGAATATTTATAAGTTAAATTATTGAGCTTTTGTTCTCCAGAGATTGAGAATTGTGAAAGTATCAATAACAATTCCTTCTTAAATTAATTTTTTATGAGTCAATAAAATTTAAAAAAATTATTTAACTCTCTTTTACTGTTCTCTTATTTAAAGTTTTTGGCACATTGAAAGACCAAGCTTTTATGTAAACCTTATTGCAAGTCTAAAGAATTACCACACGATGTGAAACTTTAAAACTTTGCATGTATGTAACTGTCAGGTAACTACCAAAATTTTATCTTTATTTTTTTTTCAAAATTTTATCTTTAAAAGTAAGCTTTTTGCCTTTATATAGACTCTGAAAAAATATTGCCAAACTCCAGTAGACTTTTAGGTTGAATTTATATTTTTTCAGTAAAGTTAATTCCATCTTATTCTTTTTTTAATTAAACTGAATGAGTCAGTGGCAAGAATAAGTATGTGTTTTGTGCTGCCTTAAAGGCAGTGGAGCTCAGGAAAGGCCAAGTCCTGAAGTTTGGGGGCCCCTAAATGCAAGGTCTAGCTCTGTAACTTGTTAGACCTTGGGCTGTGTTCTTCCTTAATTTGTTATCTTCGGAAATTTGTTATCTTCTAAATGTGGATGGTGATACCATGGGAGTTCTGGCAAAATTAGAGCATCTCTTTAAGTCACTGACAAAATTTGTGCTCAATAAATGCTAGCAGCTTTTTTCCCTATAAATCTTAGAACCTCTTAATCTTTGTAGCATTAACACTCTCAAACCATTTGGAGTATCCCAACTAAAGCCTTTTCATATGCTTACTTGAAGACCTTAGGGATCCTTGGAAATTTTCAGATAAGTTTAATTTTATGACAACAATTTTTTAAAGCCTATTGCATCCTGAGAAAATGCCATGTGAGTTTTCCATCAGAAAAATTATATAACGGGAGAAACCAAGATGGCGGCATAGGTAAACACCTAAAATTGCTGCCTCGAACAACCACTTCAAAAATACAACTAAAAGACAAAATGGACGTCATCCAGAACCACAGGAAGGCTGGCTGAGTGGAAATTCTACAACTAGAAGAAAAGAGAAAAGCACACTGAGACTCAGGAGGTGCGGAAATAAAGTGCAGAGGTACGGAAGCACGCGGAAACAGCTGGCAACTGAAGACGCGGTTGTCTTTCTCAATCAGGAGGGAGTCACAATCTCCCGACTGCTCTGATCTCCAGTTCCCGGCGAGTCTATGGGGACCCAGACTCATACGGAGAGAAACTGGACTGTCTGGCATCGGGCAGAAATTGAGGGCGGCTTTCTCTCAGAGATGCTTGCAGCGATTACCGCGGGACACTGAGACCCGGGGCCCCTTAGGGCAGGACTGAGGATCAGCCATAGCTGTTTGCTCCGCCCTGTTGATTCCCTGAGACCCTGAACCACCCAAGCTGTGCACAGAGGCTTTTGCATTTGAATAACCTGGCCCTTTGCAATCTGAAAATTACCTAACAAACTGCAGCTGGGTCAGAGAGACCCAGAACATCCAAAGAAGGCCCAAGGCCCCACAGCAGCTTGCATTGCTTCACAGTGGGCCTCATCTGGGCACCTCCAAACCCCAAACAAAGAAGAGGGATCTGCAGATCCCTCCGTAGCTCCTGCTGGGTAGCCTCAGGCAGAGGCTAAATTAGCACCTCCTTAGAGATCCAAGAGCCAGTGTACCCAGTGGTCAGAGTGGGACCATCCAGATTACAACTCCTCAGATCCATAAGGGACACACTCAGGGGGAAGACTCAGTGAGCACCAAAGTCCCACTGAAGCAAGTCTTGCCCCAGAAGGGTGTCTCCAGCACAGAAGTTCTCCCACCATAACCACAGCTGATTCTCACAGCCAGTTGGCCTGCTGGTCAATTCCTCCCAGTGATACCTACAACAATCAAGGCTTAACTACAACAAGACTGTGCACAAAGCCCACAAAGGGGTGCACCAAGAGTGTCCACCTCAGGTAATTGGGAAGGCTGAGCCACTGGGCCCTATAGGACACCTACCACAGAAAGCCACTCTATCAACACAGGGAAGCATAAAAAATGTGGAGACAAAGAAACAGGTCACAAATGACAGAAATGAGAGTTCAAAACCACTGTTACAAGGTTTTTCAAGAATTTTCTAGAAACCGCCGATAAATTTAGTGAGACCCTCCATAAATCTAGTGAGACCCTTGAGGATATGAAAAAGGACCAACTAGAAACTAAGCATACACTGACTGAAACAAAGAAGGTTATACAGAGATCCAACAGAAGACTAGAGGATCCCAAGAATCAAGTCAAAGATTTGAAGTATGAAGAAGCAAAAAATGCCCAACCCGAAAAACAAAAAGAAAAAAGAATCCAAAATGTGAAGATAGTGTAAGGAGCCTCTGGGACAACTTCAAGCATACCAATATCCGAATTATAGGGGTGCCAGAAGAAGAGAGAGAGCAAGATATTGAAAACCTATTTGAAGAAATAATGACAGAAAACTTCTCCTACCCGGTGAAAGAAATAGACTTACAACTCCAGAATGCTGAGAGAACCCCAAACAAAAGGAATCCAAAGAGGACCACACCAAGACACATCATAATTAAAATGCCAAGAGCAAAAGACAAAGAGAATCTTAAAAGCAGCAAGAGAAAAACAGTTAGTTACCTACAAGGGAGTACCCATACGACTGTCAGCTGATTTCTCAATAGCAACTATGCAGGCCAGAAGGGAGTGGCAAGAAATATTCAAAGTGGTGAATAGCAAGAACCTACAACCAAGATTACTTTACCCAGCAAAGCTATCATTCAGAATTGAAGACCAGATAAAGAGTTTCACGGATAAGAAAAAGCTAAAGGAGTTCATCACCACCAAACCAGTATTATATGAAATGCTGAAAGGTGTTCTTTAAGAAGAGAAAGAAGAAGAAAAAGGTAAAGATAAAAATTATGAACAACAAATACATATCTATCAACAAGTGAATCTAAAAATCAAGTGAATAAAAAATCTGATGAACAGAATAAACTGGTGAATAATATAGAATCAGGGGCATAGAAAGGGAGTGGACTGACAATTCTCAGGGGAGAAGGGATGTGGGAGGTGCGGGAAGAGACTGGACAAAAATCGTGCACCTATGGATGAGGACAGTGGGTGGGGAGTGAGGGCGGAGGGTGGGGCGGGAACTGGGAGGAGGGGAGTTATGGGGGGGAAAAAGAGGAACAACTGTAATAATCTGAACAATAAAGATTTAATTTAAAAAAAAGAAAAATGATATAACAAATTTCTTTTATAGTTTTTAAACTTTCATTTTCTCTAATTGGAAATATGTATATTCTGTGGTCAATAATAGATTATTTAATTCAGAATAATTTTGTGCCATTATCAAGTATACAAAGTAAACAAATTCTCCCTAAGTATAAGTCTTGAACTGAGATAAGAGTTTCATGTCATCTTTGTCTAAGAAATGTGATGGGCCTCAGTGGCCCAGTGAACCATATTAACACGTAACAGGCATCCATTTTGGGATCCTAGGCCTCCAGGCAAAGAGGACATGATATCCGAGCTCAGTAGGACATTTTAGAGAACCTTAAAAATCCCTCCAGGCACTTGTATCTTTTATGCTTTTGTTCCTAACCTAGCAAGATTGCTACCACCTCTTATTAGATCATACAGGTGAAGGACTTCAAATAAATTTAACCAGAGTGGTATGATGTGAAAGTTTCATTTGTAATATAAAACCTGTTCAGTACTTTCACAATATAAGCATAGTGAGTCCTCAAGGGTAACCTGGATAACCATAAACCTGAGTATTTTAGTGTTTATCACTGAAAAAATCTATAATTACCCTCAAAATTAGCCTTCTCATGTTGGTGTCATACATACTGACCTTTCTTCTCATCTCCTGTGTCATTAAAATCTGGAAAATAAACTCAGGGACATCTGCCTGGATTGTGTTCTTCCCATACAGTAAATAGAAAACACTGCACCTGCCTGTGTGGGAGGTAACCCCACATGTCAGTTGATGCCGATAGGAAGCCCAGCACCATCTCATTTTCAAGCTAACGCCATATCTCTCTTAAGCTGGTCATTTGTCTTGTGAGTGTGATATGTCACAGTCCCCAAAAAGACAAGATCTAACGATCTGACAAGGATTTAACAGTGTGTGCTTTTCCTTTCTTTCTGTTGAATGTATCACTTACTTTTTTAAAACCAAACTTCCAGGGAGAGCCTAACTTACATTAGTAAAATCATTACAGGATTAGCTATAATATTAAATAATATAAGACCCAGGCAAATGAAATAAGGCTCAGTTGCGATCTGGCTTTGGAGCTTGCAGGTACTCCCAATTTACCCAGGCGATTGTAATGACTACTTAAAATTTTTATTTTTCCCTTTCTGTTTCCTTGGCATGGCAAAACCTGAAGTTTCTTTTTCTAAAGCCACGTGATTTTATAATATGTATATAAAATCACACATTTTTTCCTCTGGGGGAAAAAGTGTGCTGTTTAATTTGCATTAAAAAAGCTGCATGCTCTCCTGTATTTTATAACCTTTGGTTTATGCAGGAATATGCTGAATTTCAGTATCGGAGGAGGCACAGACAGCAGCGCCGGCGAGGAGACGTGCACAGTCTGCTCAGTAACCCTCCAGACCCTGATGAGCCCAGTGAAAGCACTTTAGGTAAGTTCTTGGGTTGGGTATGTCTTAATCTCTTAGCTCTCTTGAGTTTATTCTTAAAACTGAGTAGGTGATTGTGAAAGAATTCGTAATTTAGATACACAATCTATAGGTAGCTGCTTCTAAGGTCACAGGGTACAGAAAACTATGGGGGTTAAGAACGCAGGCTTCTGAGTCAGAAAGACCTGGATTCATGACCGCATCTCACTGCCTATCAGGGAGACACTTCAGTTCAGTCACTGAACCTCTCCAAGCAGCAGTCTCCTCATTCTAAAGAAGCAATACTGAGAGTGCCACTAGGGGGCAATTGTGAGCTTTTAATGAGATAATGCCTGTAAAATCCTTAGGCATGAGAAGTACCTAGTGAGCATTCATAGGTGGCTATTGGTTACTGTAGCTATTGGTTACTGTTGGCTGTGTTCATGGAATGTTTTTCTTTTAGCCTCACTTTTCCTATAAGCATTCTTTAAAAGAAAATTTCTGGTATTAGGAGTAAATTATCTTAATTATCAACTTTTAAATGTTAAGTTATAATTGAAAGTCTTTATAATATCAGCAGAGCATCTTTAGTAAGGATCAACATGTCTGAAGATTTGTTCTTCAGGCATTGTGGTTCCCAAATTCTTTTTATTTAAAAAATAACTCTGAAAACTAAAACACCATTATTTATTGTTGCTTAAGAAAACAAAGAGGAGTAGCATTGGCCTTTCTGAATAGAACCATTTGTAGTGCAAGCACAAATGCAAAGAATAATCATGGATTTGAAGCAAATGGTATGAGATAGATATTGTTGCATCTGGTGAGACAGATATGCATAAGAAGTCTCTGGAAGATTAAGTGAATGTGTGAACACAGGTTTTCACCTGCACTGAAAGAGGAATTGCCATTTAACTAAGAAGATGTATGAAATCTGTATGGCTGAACTGTTTCTGGTACCACTTGCTCTGAAACAGATCTCCCAGAAGGTGGCAGTGGCCGCAGACCAGGCACCTCCGTGGTCAGTTCTGCGTCCATGAGTGTGCTGCACAGCTCTTCCTTGCGTGACTACACCCCTGCCAGTCGCTCGGAGAACCAAGACTCTCTTCAGGTAGTTTCCTGGGCGGCCCCCTGGCCCCTGCTTCTGCTCTTGCTCTGTGTGGCCTGGTTTTCTAATTTCACTTTTATTGCTTTCCTTTTTCTTCCTTACATTCAAAATTGTTTCAGGGGTGTGCTACAGGAAAAGAGATTTAGCTTTAGGAATTTTTCCCCTATAACATGGAAACTAAAATAAGATTTGAGTAGATAAAATAATTCTTCTGTATAAATAGAGGTAATATTAATTATCTGTTAGGTAAAAACACAGTGGTAAACCTCATTGGGTTAAATCATTTTTTCTTTTAAATTTTAAGTGATTTTACTTTCTGTTGCCCTCAGGCTCTGAGTTCTTTGGATGAAGATGATCCTAATATACTTCTTGCAATACAGTTATCATTGCAAGAATCGGGGCTGGCCATCGATGAAGGAAACAGAGACTTCCTCAGTGGCGATGCTTCCTTAGGGGCAATAGGCACTTCTCTACCTTCCAGGCTGGACTCCAGCCCCAGGAACACAGATAGCCCTGCAGCTGCGTTGAGCAGCTCCGAGCTATTGGAATTTGGCGACAGCCTCTTGAGACTAGGAGCCGAAAGTGACACATTTTCAAGTGACACCCTGAGTTCACACCCTCTCAGTGAGGCAAGAAATGAATTCTATCCCTCATCCAGTGACCCTGACTCAGCTGGCCAGGATGCCAACATCAGTGACAATCTTCTGGGCAATATCATGGCTTGGTTTCACGACATGAACCCTCAGAGTATTGTCCTGATTCCTCCAGCAACTACAGAAATCAGTGCAGATTCCCAGCGCCCCTGTGTTGGAGATGGGTCAGAAGGCGTGAAAGATGTAGAACTGGTGCCGCCAGAAGAAGACTCAGTGTTTGAAGATGCTGTGGTCAGTGAAGGTAGAGGAACCCAAAGAGAAGAAGAAAACTCTTTGGAAGAGAATATTCTGGCTGGGGAAGCAGCGCCTCAAGCTGGCGAAAGTGGTACTGAGGCTGCCAGCAAGGGAGCTGGTTCAGATGTCTCAAGTCAAACACCTCAAACCTCAAGTGACTGGCTGGAACAGGGACACTTGGTGTGAGCTGCACTCCTCTGTCTCCAAGTGCATCGCGGTACAGGTGGCATGCTGGTGGAGTGTGCTTCATGGAAACTGGATCCACTTAATTCCAATTCAACTCTAAACCACTGACATTAGGGTTGAATACAAGGAGTTCCCTTGAATGGCGGCTTCGTTTCGGAGTTTAACCTCACAGGAAACTTCTTTGGTATTTAAGTGGATAGCTTTCCCCTTTTTGCTGACAAAAAGAAGAGCAGGAGAGAAAGAAAAACGAATGGAGTAAGTAGGTTAGATTCCACACTCTAAGAAAATGCAGTCCTCTGTTTAGCCTAAGGCCAGCAATACTTAAAATGGAACATTTAAATTAAAGGCTTACTCCCTCATCCTTGGGTGGTTTTTCTCTTTAAAAAGAAAAAAAAAAGGTTTTCTTCATTTTAGAAGTTCTTTTGGACAGATCTGATAACACTGAGTTCCTCGATCTCTTTGTGCTCTTCCATAACTTTCTTCCTGCCTCTTGGTCTGAGCAGTGTGAATCGAAGTGTCCAAAGCTTCTCTTTAGTGCTGCATCTCCCACAATGTAATTAATTTTCATTTTCACATGAGTCAAAAATTTCTTTTCATGTCTTACAGTCCACTTGTGCCAAACTCTGACTCGGGCACTGAGAAGGCGTTCAGGTGTGGCTCCAGGGCAGTGTCAGCATTCTCGGGAGTAAAAGGTGCCACTTGGTAGCCATGAAATGCCAGGCTTTAATAGGCTTTTGTTGCCATGGAGACTGCATTTAAATAAATGTAGCCTGTAGCTTAAGTTAACTAAAACTAATGCTGCTGTTAAAAACAGTTTATTTTAATATTAAAATACAGTTGATTAGCAACAGCGGTGCTGTATTTTAAGAGACACTTTATTGAAAGTGCAATCATAGTTCTTTGTTTTCACAATTTTACAGTGCATTCTAATTACTAATGGGTGCAATTACTTTTAATGGTAAGTGTTTTATAAAATAGAAAACAGTGGAGTTTTTATGAGTTACAGTAAATCCGACAATTATTAAAAATCCAGTAAGACACCCTGCGCAACATGTTACCGTGCCTTTGCCTAACCTCAGTGGATAGCTGCCAGTTCAATAAGTGAGTCATTCAAATTTCAGTGTCTCTTCTGAAGTAACTATGCTATGAACTGCAGAGACCTCCATAAACCACCCATGGCCTTGCCTTTCCAGTCAATATAACAACTAAATAAATGTTCAATCCGTTTGTTTGCCTCAATAGCAAATGCTGACGTGTTTGTTCTGTTGCACAATACTCATTTGCTGTGTGACTACTGTTTAGTGTTGAAAAAATCAACTTCCTGGTTATCAGTGTCTTCCTGTGAAGAAAATACTGGTCTTAGTTGTAATTAAGATTCAATGGTACATTGTGTAATTAAAACTAGAGTAAACTGTTGGACTGGCTCTTTTACTTACATATTACCCAAACTAGCATAACATAAGCAAAGTAGATAGGCAACACCCCATTTAATGTTTTGCCAGATTTTTACCAAAAGTCTACAGATACCAAATTTCAGTACTGAGTTTGTACAGGCAAGTCCTGGACTGGGTGAAAGGTTGTATTAGTATTGATATTCACATGAGTTGTAATTATGGTTTTTTATTACTTTTTATTTTCCAAACCCTATTTTTGAAATATTCTTATATTTGGAATTCATGAGACCTAGGACATTATATTATTTAATATTCCTCAGGTTCTCCTGGGATTAAAAAGAAACTATGTAGGAATTGTTCCTATGCTTTGGGTGTCATAAGTCCACATTAGTTTTTATTTCCCCAATTATCAGAAACATTGATATCAACCCTTATTAATTTGTTGGGGTAAATATTAACTTTTTTCTACAGTGTATTGCTGTCTATTAAACTGAAATAGTCCATTAAAAAATTTTTTTACAAGTTTATTTTGGATTAAAAATATCAACACCGATCAGTTTTTAGACCAAGTTGTAATTCTTTTCAAAAGAAAGAGTCTGTATCATATAGCGGTGTCTTGCAAAGTGTGGAAGTGCTGCGTGAAGGCTGTGGAGTGCATGTTTCTGGTGAGGCCGGTGCCTGGCACCTGGTGTAGTAAGTAGCCCTTGTTCCTGTGCTGTTCTCTCCTGAGCATGAGGAAAGATCATTATCCAATTTGTACTTCCTTGGTACATATTTTAAAAACAACACAGTCATTGACTTTACAGTTCAGAAATAAAGTTTGGCAAAGCCTATTTTGTAAACACATTAATTTTATAATGTAAAAAAAATTACTCTAACCTTGACTTGTTATTTGCACTTTCATAGTCTATACTTGATACATTCCCCCTTTATATACAATAGGATTCTACAACCATGTAGATGTTTGGCCAAATGAATGCTGTTAATAATATGTAAAATTCTTTGATTAAACATTTATTACTTAAACTACTTCACTTTGGTCTCATTACATTATAGACTCTGTTTTAACCAAGTTAGGAAGCTGATCTTCCAGTTAAATTCCTTCAAATATGATGGGACTAGTTTGATTCTTACATGTAATCAATCAGTGCCTAATATTTTTTACAGTGAGCATTTTATATCTCAGAAGAGTAGATTTCTTTCTAGAAAGATATAAGTGGACTTTTCTAGACTATGACATGACTGTCCTTATTTTAGGAACTGCGGTAGTCATACTTCTTAAAGAAAGGTGGGCCAGAAAAGCTTGCTTTTGCTCTCTGTTCCACTTAAGACTGACAGATGGCTAACAAACTGAGTGGTGGCCAAACTTGAAGGAATTATTCTTCTCAGTCTATAAAATGAAACATTTGTGAGCAGGTATATGTTACCTTTTAACCAGCTATTTGCACAAGGGACCAGTTTATAGACTGGCTGAGACCAGCCTGCACGAGGCACCAGCTTACCGACTGGCTGAGAGGGAGATTTATGAAAGAGCAAACAAAGCACAATATAGAAAAGGATCATCACTGGACAAAACAGTCCTGTCCTGGTGCACACCTTGTTTGGGTGTGCCTAACAAAGTTGCCTGGGCCAGTTATGCAGCTGGAGACCTTAGCAGCAGGCTTGCTTTCAGGCATCGCTGTCCTGACCCTGGCTCCTCCACTGCAGCACACCCACTGCAGCTTAACTAAATGGAGCCTGTAGCTACGTTCGCCCGGGCCTGCGATGTTGCTCCTGTGGAACTGGGGTCAAGGGAGCTGACACAAATGTGCTGATGTTCATTCGCATGCTGTGCTGTGAGGGCTTTACCCCCGACTCCGGATATCCTTATCCTGTCAGCAGCCAGGGAACTGTGCCAGGCTGACTTACTGGTTTGTGAGCAGGGTAAAAGCAAGCCCCAGACCCCACAGTTTGACAATAATGTTAGAATGCTGACAGACGTGATTTTCTGCAAGAGAAACTGGGCCTAGTTTGGGAATATAAGACTCCATTAAATCTGTGTGGTGGTGAACGCTCTCACCCAAGGGATAGATTAGGGGTGGGGCAGATTAAGGGTTGTCCTTTCTGTTACTGAACAGGAGTTGAACTGATGTTGACAGTCTGAGGGATCAGATGTGGGATTGAAACGACGACGAAATGTGTTCCTGACTAGGAGTCGGCAGTTCCTGGAGCCTACCTGAAAGGTAATGTGATGCACCTGCTGAGTCAGGGAGTCGCCAAATGTAAAACAAATGTTATCAGCAATAGGAAGCTTGCTGCTTGAGAGTTTTGAGTGGACCAAAAACATTAAAAGTTCATTTGGTTGAGCTGCAACGCTATCCAAATGCAAAAGGGAATGCAAAGCCTTGCCTAACCGTGCAAGTCAGGCCCCCTCCCAGCAGTGAGGATAGTGCTCAGTATAGGAGCGACACCAGATGACAAAAGCTGCGGGTGTGCAGGAGCCGAGAGAAGGCCGTGGGCCCTGGCTCTGGATGCTGACAGCCTCAGTCCTGCTGTG